ACGTGGACGATGACGTGGACGAGTGGGGCGCGTTCGGCGGCGACCCCGCCCGCGCGAACGCCGCGGCCGACGACGACGACGGGACGTTCTTAGCGCTCGTCCCGTGGGCGGACGCGTTGAACCACGACCGCGACGCGTCCGACGCGTCGGTGTTGTCGTACGACGCCGCGACGAAGACCGCGTCGCTGCGCGCGTCGAGAGCGTACGCGCCGGGAGAGGAGGTCATGGACAGCTACGGCCCGATGATGTGCAGGCACGACTCGTTCTTGCACTACGGGTTCGTGTCCGTGGGATGGGGTAGCGACGACGCGGTGAAGGAAGACTTTGTCGACCTTCCGGGGATGGATTTTTGGAACGCCGTCGTGAAACACGCGGGGGACGACGAGGCGAAACTGGAGCACCTGAGACGGCTGCGCGAGACGATGTCACTCGTGGGCATGGACCCGAGCGAGACGAGCTTGCGGTTGTCGAGGCACACGTACGCGGGGTCGTGGGACGGCGCCGCCGCGTGGTGTCGCCTCGCCGCGGCGTCGCCGGCGGAGTTCGCCGCCGCCGGAGGAGGCGAACTCGGAGAACTCGGAGGGGACACCGCGGAGTCGAGGCGCGCCGCGCTCGGGAACGCGTGGGCGGTCGCATTCGAGCTCATGCGAGAGGACCCGGCGTTCGTTCAAGACGTAGACGAGGACGAGGACGAGGGGAAAGGCGCCGGGGAGGGAAAAAGCGACGCGGCCGCGGGTGAAAAAACACCCGGGGAGGAGGGGGCCGACGCCGACGCCGACGCCGAGAAGAAGAAGAAGAAGTATCGTCGATCGAAGACGTGGATGTCGCCCAAGACGAAGCGCTCGTTCTGTCACCTGTTCACCGCGGTGATGAACCGCCTCAGGGTGCACCCGCCGATCGCGGTGGACACGATGTGGGCGATCGCGAACTCGCCGACGAGGGAGGAGGGCCCAGCCGCGGGCGAAGCGGCGGCGCGGTTGCTTCTCGCGTCGGAGGTGAGGGCGCTCAGGGGGCTGTCCGAGAACTTGGCGCGGCGGCTGCAGATCTTGAAGCCGTGCACGGCCGCGCCGAGGGGGGCGCGCGGGAACGACCCGAGCGCGTTCGACACGCGCGAGATACCGACGGACGCGGTGAAACCTCTGCCGCTCGATTGGTGATCGATCGACGAGGCGAGTCGCGCGTGTTTTCATCGAGCGTCGTCGTACAGTACAACTAGTACCTTCTCGCATCGCATCGCATCGCATCGCGTCGCGTCGCATCGCATCACGACGGTCTCTGCACTTCTCGCAACGGCGGCTGCGGCTGCGTCGCGCTCTCGAACCCGGTGACCTCCCGCTGCGCCTCCGTCGTCTTCGGTCCCGCGCACGTCCACGCGCCTCCCGCGACGCAACACGGAAACGCCGCGCCGCTCGCCGCGTCGAAGCGATCCCCGCACGTCTCGCCTCTGATCGCGTACCCCGTGTCGCAGCACGGCTCCGGGTACGTCCGCTGCTCGTACGGCTGCGCTAAGACCGCGGCTTGCGTGCATACGTACGGCCCGCCGTCGACGCAGCACGGGAGGTTAAACAAACCGCCGACGCCGGAGACGACGCCGCCGACGTTCCCGAGCCCTACGCCGCCGCCCCACCCCACGTTACAGTACGCGCTGCTCGTCGCGAACCCGGAGAGGCAGCACGGGTCCGGGAACGTGACGCCGACGCCGAAACCGCCGAAACCGCCGAAGCCGCCGTAGTCGTCGTAGAACCCGTCCGCGAACCCGGCGCGGTACCCGTCTACGACGCCGCCGTCGAAGTAGTCGTTCACGACGTCGCCGCGGTCGCGCCGCAGCGACTCGAGCCTCTGGGTCAAGTCGTCGATCTGGCCTTGCTGGCGGTTCAGGATCGTCTCCGGCGCGCGCGTCGTGGACGGGCGCGGCACCGGCTGCTCGCGCGTCGTCGTCGTCGTCGTCGAGGGCTGCTGCTGGACGGTTCGCGGCGCGCCGCGCGTCGTCGTCGTCGTCGTCGCGCGCGGCGTCGGCGTCGGCGTCGTCCGCACCGCGCGCGGGCCGCCTCGCGTCGTCGGCGCGGGCGTTCGCGAGACGGTCGTCGGCGTCGGCGTCGGCGCGCGCACGCGAGGGCCCCCGCGCGCGGCGGCCGCGCCTCGCGTCGTCGGATACGACGTCCGCGCGGTCGCCGCGCGAGGGCCGCCGCCGCCGCCGCCGCCGCCGCGGCCGACGCTCCCGCGCGACGTCTGCGCGAGCGCGGCGTCGGGCGCGGCCGCGAGCGCGAGGACGAGCGCGAGCGCGAGCGCGAGGGACGCGCGGCGGTCGCGCGCGCGCATCATCGTGACGACGACGTCGACGACGACGACGACGGCGACGACGACGACGAGGCGTTCGTAGCCTCGCTGCTCGCGTCGCGCGTTCCGAGGGAGCGAAAGAAAACCAAAACGAGGGCTGCTCCGTGGAAGGTCAGACGCGACGCGCCGGCGCGTCGCCGTCCGCGCGCGGCCTGGCACTCCCCCCCGCACGGACCGCGCCGCGATGCGCGCGTTCAACCGCGTCCTCCTCGCGCTCGCGTTCCCGATCGTCTGCCTCTTCGACGCCGTCGCCGCGGCGCCCGCGCGCTCGAACGCGTCGTCGTACTCCGCCGAGAGCGCGCGCGCGCGCCTCCTCGGCGGCGACCGCGACGACGACGCGCTCCTCTTCGCCATCACGGGCAACTACGAGCCGTACGAGTACGTCACCGGCGCGGGCGAGCGCGACGTCCTCACCGGCGACGCGCTCCCCGCGGACGTCCCGACCGGCTTCGCGGTGGAGACGATTAAACGCGCGTGCGACGCGTGCGACCTGAGCTGCGAGTTCGTCCTCGCGGACGCCGCGGACTGCTGGACGAGCGGCGGGTTCCCAGGTCTCGGGCTGCAGGCGGGGCACTTCGACGCGTGCGCGGCGTACACCGCGACGTCGCGGCGGCAGCTCGGCGTCGCGTTCGGGGACGCCGTGTCCAGGCCGCGCGCCGCGGGGATACTGACGCGGCTGGACCCGAGCACGCGCGAGCCCGTCGTGCGGCCGACGGACGACCTCTCGGACGTCGTCGTCGCCGTCGTCGGCGGGTACGCGACCACCGCGCGATCGATCGGCGCGTCGCGCAACACGTGCGCGAACGAGACGTTCAACGGCTCGCCGGTCGACGGGCTCATCGCGCTCGTGGCGGACGACCCGCACGGCGGGCCGGACGCCGCGATGAGAGCGCTGCTCGACGGCGACGCGGACGCTCTGTACGCGTACGCGAGTCTGATCGAAGACCGAAAGGGATGCAAACAACTCGGCTGCGACGCGTCTCTGTACGACGGTCTCGGGACGAAGTACGCGTGGATACACGTCGACATGTTGGAGTACCAGGTCAACGGCACGACGCTCGCGATGACGAAGAAAGGCTCGCCGTTGATCGACGCGTTCAACCCGTGCGTTCGATCGGTGATGCGTTCGACGTGGTACGCGGACGCGTGCGCGAGATACGCCGCCGCCGGCTTCGACGACGTCGAGTGCTACCCGAACGCGCACTTCGAGGCGGCGGAGGAGGGCGACGATTTGGACGACGATTTGGGAGACGACGCCGACGCGCCGTCGCCGTCGCCCGCGCCCGCGCCCGCGTCGGGCGGCGGAGGCGTGGGGAAGTGCGCGTCCGGGAGGTGTCCGTGCGACGCGTGAGGCGCGGCGGGTGCGGGAAAACCGAAAACCAGAAAAGGTCAAAAAACCAGTCACGCCAGAAGATCTTTCTTCGGCGTATCCGACGCCACCTCGCCACCTCTGCGCGCGGGCCATCACCGCGGTCGCACACCTCTCCGCGCGCGCCCGGCGTCCACCACGATGCACGCGCTCGCCTCGTCCGTCGCGTCGTCGCACCCCGCGCTCGCGTCCTCGCGCGCGAGGTTTACGAGATCGAACGCCCGCGCCGCCGCGCGCGTCGTCCGCGTCGTCGCGTCGGACGCGAAATCATCATCGTCTGATGACGCGAGGACGACTCCCGCGATCGTCGCGTCCGCGAGGGCGGCGTCCTTCGCCGCCGTCGCCGCGCTCGCGTCGCCCCCCTCCGCGCACGCGATGGAGGGCATCATGTCCGTGTTCAACGGCCAGCCCGGTCTCCTCGGCGCCGCCTGCGTCGCCGTGTGTTGGGGCATCCCGCAGACGCTCGGGATGGGCATCCTCGCGAAGAAGGAAGAGAAGGGACGCGAGATCCTTCGCGAGTGGGGCGTCGAGGAGGCGGACGTCGAGAAGGGGAACTGGGGGCGGATTCAGGCGCGGATCAAGGAGGAGGCGATCCGGCGCGGGGTCGAGCGGCCGAAGATTTAATAAGGGGAGGTTTACGCGAGGACGATGACCGTAGTTCCGCGCGCGAGAGGCGACGGAGGGCCGGCGGCATCTTGTCAATAATCTATCCGCGCACTCAGCTCGCGCGACCGCCAACGAAAATCTCGCGTCTCGTCTCGCGCCAGAATTCGTCGATCGAACCGACTTCGTTCTAGGGTTGCCGCGTCGCCGACGCATAAGACGCGCGCACTCCACGCCCGCGTCGCTCGCTTCACCGCACGCGCCATGCCCGGCAAAGAGGGAGGCAAGGCTAAGCCGCTCAAGAAAGCGAAAGGGAAGCAGGTCGAGCTCGACGACGACGACCTCGCGTTCAAGGCGAAGCAAAAGGCGGACGCGGAGAAGCTCAAGGCGCTCAAGGCGCAAGCCGCGGGCAAGGGGTTCGGAGGTGCGATTCGCGCGGACCCTCGGACGCGACCACCGCGTCTTCCGTTTTCGATTTCGATTTCGCGTTCGCGTTCGCGTTCGCATTCGCATTCGCGCGCGTCCGCGCGCGATCGCCGTCGACTCACGTTCGGTCGCCCACCCCTCGCGCGGCGGCGTGCAGGCGGCATGAAGAAGAGCGGGAAGTGATGAATTAATTAATTAGCGTCGTCGTGATCCATCCTACGCGGTACACAGAGCGCTCGTCACCATCCCCAGAGCGTCAACAGCGCGGCGCGGTACGGGTCCGCGCGCGCGCGCTTCCCCTCCCCGTCAACCGCCGCCGCGTCCCGCAGATGCGACGCTGGTCGTCGCGGCCGCCGGTCCGGTCGCGCCGCCGCCGACGCCGACGGCTGCCGCGCGGGCGCCCGCGCCGCCGCCCCCGCGGCGCCGCGACGCGCGCTCCACCGCGCGCTCGCGCGCGCGTCGCGTCTCCGCCGCGTCGCGCCGTCGTCATCGTCGCCCGCGCTCTTATCCCTCGTCCGCGCCGCCGCGCTTCTCTCTCGCGCGGTCGTCGTCGTCGTCGTCGTCGTCGTCGTCGTCGTCGTCGTCGTCGTCGTCTCTCGACCCGGCGGCGGCGGCGGGCGGCTCGAGAGCACCGCCTGCAGCGCGTCGTACCCCCTCCGCAGCTTCGCCTTCTCCGCGCGCGTCTCCTCCTCGGCCCGCGCGCGCGCGTCCGCCTCGCGCTGCCTCTCTCTCTCCATGGCCTCGTCCTCGAGGTGCAGACCGAGCTTCCGACGCGCGGCGTCGTGCGTCTCGGGGTCGAGAGTCGTTCCACGCGAAGCGACGACGTCGGGGCGGCGATGAAAGGCGTCGGTCGAAAGGCGTCGAGGTGTGTCGGGATTGAAACCGTGGGGTGGGCGGAGAGATGCGCCCGCGAAAGTCCTTAAGGATCGGCGTTCACCACGCGAACGCGGTCGTATGGGGACCAGTGTGCTGAGAACGCACCTCGTCGGCGGCGTCGGCGGCCAACCTGGCGCGCACGCGCTCCGGATCCACGAGCGTCCCCACGCCGCCGTTCGCGACGGCGTACACGCGCGGGAGCGTGCGGATGCGCGCGTCGGCGCGCTCCGCGCGCGCGCACGCGCTCTTCAGGCGACGGTCCAGGTCGCGCTCCTTCGCGCGCGTCGCTCGCGCGGCGCGCTCCGCGGACTCCGCGGACACCAGACGGCGATGCGGAAGACGATGAGGATGAGGGCCGTTCTATACGAGCGAATGTCGGGGTGGAGTTGAAAGGCGTCGGTTGGAGTTGAAAGGCGTCGATGGCGGGGATTGAAAGCGAGGGGTGGGCGGAGAGAAACGACGGCAAAAGTCCTTAAGGATCGGCGTTCACCACGCCGACGTGGTCGTATGGGAACCAGTGTATAGAACGCACCTGATGCTGACGACGATGAGGATGAAGAAGATCCCGGCGCGCGTCCGTCGCGTCGCCGCCGTCGCCGCCGCCGCCGCCGCCCACGTCGCCGCGCCGCTGCTCCGCGACCGGCGTCCGCGTGATCGTCCGCGCGCGCGACGCCGCGCGCGCGGACTGCGTGTCCCGCGCCGCCTGCCGTCGAATCGCGCGCATGCCCGACGGCGTCCGCGGGTCGAGCGGCGGCGATGGAGCGCTCGCTTCGGCGTCGCGCGCGGACGCGACGCGGCCGGTCGCGTTCCGCGCGCGGTCGCCTCTTTCTCCGCGGTGCGTCCCCGCGGGCGCGGTGTGCGGCCGCCGTCTTCCGCCGCGCGCGCGCTCCATCGCGGGCGGCGCGGGGACGAGCCGCGCGTCGCGTCCGCCGCGCGCGCGCGACGCTTTTGGTACACGATACGAACCGTCGCGAGACGAAGGCACGAGTTTGTCGGTCGGTCAGTTGAAAGGTGACGCGATCAAATATTGAAACCGAGTGGTGGGTGAAAGACCGCACCTGACGCGCTCGCGACACTGGAGGAAAAACTCCCGGGAGGAATAACAGAAGAAGGCGTGCATGATGACGTGTTCGAAGCGTCGGGGCGGGGACATACCGCGACGCGTCGACGACGATGTCGCGGCTCGCCTCGGCCGCGAGACGCGCCGCGGGACGCCTCGCGAGCGCGTCCTCTCGCGGCGGCGGCGGCGGCGTCGCGCGCGGACTCGCGGCGTCGCGCGGCGCGGCGACGGACGCGGACGAGGACTGGCCGATCGGCTTCGGACGCGTCCTCGCGTCGTCGTCGTCGTCGTCGTCGTCCTCGGCGGACGACTTTCCGATCGGGTTCGGACGCCGGCGCGGGCGAGGGATGGCGACGTACGCCATGAGCGCGGGGAACGGCGATTTCGGTCGGTTAGGGCACGGCGGCGGCGGGAGAGGGCCGCACGCGCTCGGGCTGAGCTCGGAGTCGCTCCGACGCATGGTCCTCCCGGCGGTGCGTCGTCGCGTCGACGTCGTCGCGTTTCTCATCAGATGCCGTCGGACGTCTTCTATCGCGACGCGCGCGCGAACCCGCCCAGCCCGGCCTCTTCGCCTCTGACCCCCGCCCGCGCCGCCCTCCCTCTCACGTCCTCCTCCTCCTCCTCCTCCTCCTCCTCCTCCTGTCTTCTCCGTGAACCCCGGGTCCCCAGGGCGTCGCCGACGTCGTCGCCGTCGCCGCGGGAGGCGCGCACACCGCGGTCGCGACCGCTCGCGGGGACGTCTACACGTGCGGCGCGAACGATTTCGGCCAGCTCGGGCACTCCGCGGACGTAACGCACGTCCCCGTGCTCACCAAGGTCCGGGGACTCCCGGAGCACGACCCGGTCGCGACCGTCGCGGCCGGGCATCACCACACGCTGTGCGTCACGAAGAGCGGCGACGTGTGGGCGTTCGGGAGAAACGACGCGTCGCAGTGCGGTCTCGGGAAGGACGCGCCGCCGTCGATCGGATTCCCCGCGTGGGTGGAGGCGCTGTCGGATCCCCGTGAGGAGCACGGGAGGGTGATCTCCGTCGCCGCGGGGCAGAGCCACTCGCTCGCGTGCACGGAGAGCGGCGGCGTGTACGCGTGGGGGAGCACAGGCGACGGGAAGTGCGGGCACGGGGACGACGAGAGCTGGCGGTGGGGGTTTTTCGCGTCGGGCGCGTTCTATACACTGGTCCCCATACGACCGCGTTCGCGTGGTGAACGCCGATCCTTAAGGACTTTTCCGCCCGGCGTGTATCTCCGCCCAGGGTCCCTCGCTTTCAATCCCCGACCTCGGCGCCTTTCAACTCCATCTGACGCCTTTCAACTCCACCCCGACATCGCTTTGTATGGAACGACCCTCAGACGAGGCGGAGACGACGCCGCGGCTGGTTCGGTCGCTCGCGGACGATAACGTCCGCGCGGTGAGCGTTCACGCCGGCGACGCGCACTCCGCGTGCGTGGACGAGGACGGTACGCTGTACGTGTGGGGAAGCAACCGGTATAACCAGCTCGGATTAGGCGGGAAGGAGAATCACCCGCGAGGGGGCGACGCGTTCGTGACGACGCCGACGACGGTGCCGAGGCTGCCGCGCGTGGGGTCGTTCGCGTGCGGCGGCTCCTTCTCCGTCGCCGCGAACCGGCACGGCGCCGGGTTGAAGTCTTGGGGCGCGAACGGCAGCGGCGAGCTCGGGGAGGGGCACGACGCTGGGAACGAGAGCCGCGCGGCGCCGAGGGCGGTGGACACGTCGAGCGTGAAGGGCAGCGCGGATTTCGTTCGCGTCTCCGCGGGGTGGCGGCACGCCGCCGCGATCGCGACGGACGGCGGCGTGTACACGTGGGGGTGGGGCGGCAGCGCGGGGCAGCACCACGACGACGCGTTTTCCACGGGCGGACAGCTGTGTCTCGGCGTGGACAACGACTTTTGGGAGCCTTTCCCGGTGCCGGATTTCACAAGACGCGGCGACGGCGGGAGACGACTCCTCGCCGCGAAGGACGTGTCGTGCGGGTTCAACCACACCGTCGTCCTCGTGGACGACGGCGCGGGGTGAGGTACAGTAGCCCGGGCGCGCGAGTCGACGCGCGGTGCCGCGCTGCATCGCGCGGAAGCGCGACGTTCGATGATTAGGTACGTACCTATAAGATAGAACAACTACTGTATCACGAGTTCAACTCCGTCGACGGCGAGTCACCGCCTTGAGTCCGTCGTCGCCGCCGGCTTTCCCATCCCCCCCCTCAGCTGCCAGTACGACAACCTGCTCAGCGCCAGCGCCGCTTTCAGGCACACGAAGAACATCAACAGAAACGCGTTGTCCCACCGATCCCGAAACGCGGACCCCTCGCCGGCGTCGAGCTCCGCCTCCTCCGTCTCCGCGGCGGCGACGGACGAGCTCCCCGACCCGACCCTCCCGACGATCCAACACCCCAGCGCGCTCCCCAAGATCCCCACCCCGCCCACGACCCCCACGCACGTGCTCACCAGCCGTGGTTTGTTAACGCTCTCCGCGAGGTCGACGCACACGCCGGACCAGAACGTGTTCGCGGGGCCCGCGACGAAGAGCCCGAGAGACGTCAGGACCAACGCGAACGTCGTCGTCGCGTGCTCGAGCCGCGGCAACGCCAGCAACGGGCTCGCGCCCAACACGAACATGCACGCGAACGCGGGGGCGTATCTGCCGTAGAGAACGTCCATGAGCTGTCCGGCGAGGACGCTGCCGACGGCGATGGCGACGGCGAAGACGTTCACGAGGTTGTCGGCGACGACTTGCGACCCCAACGTTTTCGAGAGGTAATACGGCATCCAGAGAAGCACGGAGAGGACGAGCGTGCGCGCGAACGCGCACGACAGCGTCCAGTCGCGCAGCCCGGGGATATCCCACGCCTCGCGGACATCGCGGGCGATCGACGCGACGGCGCCGGTCCATCCCGATTTTACCCTGGACGCGTAGCGCTCGACGCCGACGCCGCCGCCGACGCCGACGCCGCCGAGCAACGGCAGCGCCTCGCCGAAGCCGTCGCCGCCGCCGCCGCGACCGCCGCGACCGCCGCCGCCGCCTCTCCCGAGCAGCGCGTCGTCCTCGCCTCTGATGGACGGGCTCGCGCGCGCGTCCACGCACGCGTACAGCGACAGCGCGGCCGTCAGCTCCGCGGCGGCGACGACGAAGTACACCGACGTCCAGCGCCCCCCCGACGCGTCCTCGGCGAACGACGACGCGAGCTGCATGGCGAGGACGTCCCCGACCGGGCCGCTCGTCATCCACGCGCCCAGGACGACGCCCATCTTCGCGGGGTGGACGAACGCGCTCGCGACGGCGACGACGTTCGGGATCGCGAGCGCCTGCGCGAAGCCGTCGATCGCGCGCAGCGGGCCGTGCGCGAACGCGACCTGCGTCGTCGCCGCCGCGACGGACGCGGGCGTCATCGCGCGGAGAAGGATCCCGGTGATCGCCATCGACGCCGCGGAGAGGCTCAGGCCGACGATCGCGCACGACAGGTTGCCTTTCATCTTCCCTATCGCGCCGCTGACGATGAGGACGGAGCCGAGGGACAGCAGGTAGACGGTGTCCATCGCGTCGAGCGCGGTCGCGGTGAAGTTGGCGTCCGATTGCAGCTCCGGCTTGACCGCGGCGACGCCCTGGCGCGCGGCTCGTAACGACGCCGCGGCGAGGTACGTCACGAACACCACGAGGTAGTCCGTGCTTCCCCGGGCGATCCCCGCCTGCGCCGCGCGCGCGGTCATCGCGCCGCGGGAGGAGGGGCGAGGGCGCTTCGGCGGCGCGCGAGCGAATGCTGACCCGACGTTGGACGGATGTTACGACGCGTTTTCGGAGGCGAGTGTTTCCAGACGACGCGCGCGTTCGCGGCGGCGGCGGCGACGACGACGAGCGAGCGTTCGCAGAACGCGCATCTTTAACAACAACGAAACGAAACGAAGCTAGCGATCGCGAGGTCCCCCCGTTCGTATCAACACGGGGTGACCGTCGCGCATCGCGGCGCGGCGAGTCCCCGCCGCGCGGCGGCGGCGGCGGCGGCGACGGCGACGGCGACGGCGGCCGACGCGTCGACGTCGTCGATCGACCGCGTCATCACGCTTGATTCGCGCCCTCGTACGGCTTGAGCTTGAGCACCTTCCCGATCGCGATCGTCTTCCCCTCGTCCCGAAGCGTGAACCGCCCGAGCTGCGGGACGTCCGCGAACTTCTCGCAGCAGATGATCCCGCTGGTGCGAATGCGAACCGTCGCGAGCGAGCCGCCCTTCAAAAAGAGCGCCTGCCCCTTCTTCTTCTCCTTCGGCTTCCTCGTCTTGCCGTCGATCTCGTTCACGATCTTCGTCACCTCGCACTCCTCCGTCACCGCGTGGATGTGAATGATCGCCTTGTACCCCGCGGTGAATATGCTCTTGTGCTCGAGAAGCTCCAAGATGGCCAGCTGGCACTCGATCTCTTGCGTGACGTGCACCGGCGCTGAGGGCGCGCAGAGCACGAACCCCGTCATGATCGCGTCCTCCTCGATGCCCGCGAGACGCATTCGCACGTTCTCCCCCGGCGCCACCTTGGAGCACTCGATGTCGTCCCTGTACACGTTCGTGACCTTGACATGCACGTTGTTCGGCATGACGACGAGCTTGTCGCCTCGACGAACCGTCCCCGCCTCGGTCTTCCCCATGACGATCGTGCCCATGTCCTTATGCTTGTCCAACACCGGGAGACGAAACGGCGCGTCCGGGTTGCGGTCCAGCGGATCTAAATCGTCCAGCGTGTCGAAGAAGCTCTTCCCCTCGTACCACGGGCACACGTCCGCGGTAACCTTGGTCTTCATGTTCGTGCCGTACAGCCCGGAGATGGGGACGTACGTCACGTCCTTGGCCACGTTGTACCCGCACGACTTTAGAAACGGGTTGATCTTCGTGTTGATCTCGTCCCAGCGTTCTTTACTCCACTTCACCGTCGGGTCGTCCATCTTGTTCACGACGACGATGAGCTTGGAGACGCCCAGGACTTTCGCGAGCTGCGCGTGCTCTCTCGTCTGCCCGCCGCGCTCGAACCCGGTCTCGAACTCGCCCTTGCGCGCGGCGATCACGAGCACGCCGACGTCCGCCTGCGCGTGTCGGGGTGGAGTTCAAAGGCGTCAGTTGGCGTTGAAAGGCGTCGAGGTCGGGGATTGAACGCGGGGGGTGGGCGGACACAAGCGCCGGGAAAAGTCCTTAAGGATCGGCGTTCACCACGCGAACGGGGTCGTATGGGGACCAGTGTATAGAACGCACCTGCGCGGCGCCTTGGATCATGTTCGGGACGTAATTCTTATGCCCGGGGGCGTCGATGACCGTGTACCGCTTCTTCTCCGTCTCGAAGTGCGCCCTGCCCGCCTCCACGGTCTTCCCCTTCGCGCGCTCTTCCTCGTTCGTGTCCATGATGTACGCCATATACCACGACTCGCGGTTCTTGTCCTTGGCCTCCTTCTCAAACTTTTCGATCGTGCGGTCGTCCACCATGCCGCTCTGGAATAAGATCTGACCGCCGATCGTGGACTTCCCCGCGTCGACGTGCCCGATGAAGCACAAGTTCAGGTGCTCTCTCTGGTCGCCGGTCGCGTCGTCCTCCTCCTCGGGCGCCGCGACGTCGTCCTCCTCCTCGGGCGCCGCGACGGGCTCGGGCTCCGGCGCTGCCGCCGGCTTTTTGTCCTCCACCTCGAGCGCGGCCGCCTTCGCCGTCGCCTCCGCGACGGTGGGCGCGTCCGGCTTCTCGTCCTTCTTCGCCGCCGGCGGCGCGGGCCCGCCGATAGAGACGGACGCCGCTTTCGCCCCCGGCGCGGGCCCGCCGATCGTGATCGACGCCGCTTTCTTCGGCGGCGCGGCGTCGCCGCCGATGGAGACGGACGCCGCTTTCGCCCCCGGCGCGGGCCCGCCGATCGTGATCGACGCCGCCTTCTTCGGAGGCGCGGCGTCGCCGCCGATGCTGAGCGAGACCGCTCGCTTCGGCGGCTCCCCCGCCGGCGGCGGCGGGCGCTCGTAGAACGCCGGGGGACCGCCGGGGGGCGGGCCGGGGGGAGGCGCCGGCGGCGGCGCGGAGGAGACGTTCCTCGGCTTGAACGCGAACGCGGGCGCGGACGCTTTCATCTGGAACGCCGGCGCGGACGCGCTCATCGCGCTCGAGGCGGGCGGCGGGCCGGGCGGCGGGGGCGGCGGCGCGCCGCTTCCGTCGTCGTTCTTCGGGGCGTCGCTCATGGCGTCGCTGTTTAGAGCGCGAGGCGACGACGCGGCGCGATCGGCGGGGCGATCGGCGCGGGCGGTTGTGAACGTCGAGGCGGGCTCGGACGGCGGACGGACGGAGGCGCGGCGAGACCGCGCGGGAGGCGGAAATCTCGACCGCCCGCGCGCCCCGCCGCCACGAAATGAATGCGCCGGTGTCGGCGCCGCGCGGGACGCGGCACAACGCGCGACGCCCCGCGCGCGCGTCCGTCGGGTTCGAGAACTCCCGCGAGAGCCGCGCGACCTCGCGCGACGCCTCGAGAAGAGCGCATAACCCGCGCGGAAGGGGGCCCAGAGCAGAGGGGAGCGCGCGCGGAGAGGCGGAGGCGCGAGAAGGAAGCGCTCTGCTCTGATTGAGACCGCCCGCGCGCCTCGGATCGATTCTTCGCGCCGCCGCGCCGGTACGAGGCTGCTGACGAGATGCCGCAGAACGAGCACATCGAGCTGTTCCAGAAGCGCTATGGCCGCCGTCTGGATTACTACGAGAAGAAGCGTAAGAAGGAGGCGAGAGAGCCGCACAAGAGGAGCGCGGTCGCGAAGAAGCTCATCGGCCTCAAGGCGAAGCTCTACGCCAAGAAACGACACGCGGAGAAGGTGACGATGAAGAAGACGATCCAGCAGCACAGCGAGCGGACGAACAAGCACAAGGTGGAGGAAGAGGCCGCGCCGGGCGCGATCCCCGCGTACCTCATGGACCGCGAGCAGACGAGCCGCGCCAAGGTGCTGAGCAACACGATCAAGCAGAAGCGGAAGGAGAAGGCGGGGAAGTGGGAGGTGCCGCTGCCCAAGGTGAGGCCGGTGGCGGAGGATGAGATGTTTCGCGTCATGCGCTCGGGGAAACGGCAGAAGAAGTCGTGGAAGCGGATGATCACGAAGGCGACGTTCGTGGGGCCGGGGTTCACGCGGAAACCGCCAAAATACGAGCGTTTCATCCGCCCCAGCGGTCTGCGGTTCACGAAAGCGCACATCACGCACCCGGAGCTGAAGTGCACGTTCCAGCTGGACATCCTCGGCGTGAAGAAGAACCCGAACGGACCGATGTACTCGTCTCTGGGCGTCTTGACGAAAGGGACCGTGATCGAGGTGAACGTATCGGAGCTCGGTCTAGTGACGCCGGGGGGGAAGGTGGTGTGGGGGAAGTACGCGCAGGTGACGAACAACCCGGAGAACGACGGATGCGTCAACGGCGTGCTGCTCGTGTGATGAGTAGGGCTACTACGTTTGTTTCGTACCCATTATTGCCGCTTCCTTCGCGCATAAGATCACAACCGAACCGCCGCGTCTATCCATCACATCGCATCACATCGTCACCGCCGCACGTACTCGCTCTGCGCCTTGCGCAGCGCCGCGACCTCGCTCGCGAGCTTCGCGTTGCTCGCCTTGAGCTCCTCGAACGCGTCGAGCTGCTCCTCGCGCGCCTCGTGAAACTGCCGCAACATCTCCGCGTGCACGGTTCTCACCTCCGCCCTCATCGCCGTCTTCATCTCCGCGAGCTGCTCTCGCATGAAGCGCGTGATCAGCGGGATGCCTCCCTCCGGATCGCGCTCTTCGTCGCCCTCTTCATAAGGGGTGCCCAGGGTGCCCGCGCCGCCGATTCCCGGCGACGCTCGCGGCGGCGGCGTCAGCGCGAGCCCGGTCGACCCGCCGTCGAGACCCAGACCCAGACCCAGACCCGCGCCCGCGCCCATGCCCACGCCCATGCCCGGCCGCGCCGCCGCGGCGACCGCCTCGGGCGTCTTCGCGCTCAGGAGACGCTCCACGCGTCGCCGCGCCGCCTCCGTCTCGGCGTCCGTCGCGGCGTTCGATCCCTCCCCGAACGCTGGCGCCGCGGGCGGCGTCGGCGGCGGCGGCGGCTTCGTCGTCGTCTCTTCGACAAACTTCGTCGGCGTCGGCGTCCGCGCCTCCTCGCGCGCCGTCCTCGCCATCGCGTCCTGGTCCACCGCGCGCTGCCAACGCAACGCGGTGACCCCGCCTTCCGCGCCGACGTGCGCCGCCGTCGCGTACAGCAGCGCCCCCGCGCCCGCGCTCGCCTCCGCGCTGAGCGACGACGACAACATCCTCGGGTCGATCCACACGACGCGCCCGTCGGACGCGCCCGCGGCGAGCGCGCCGCCGTCGCCGCGCCACGACAGGCACGTCGCGCTGGTCCCGCGTGTGGCTCCTCCGCCAAAGCCACCGAAGCCGGCTTGCTTCCCGTGCGACGACCCGCGCAACGCGATGGACCCCACGGCGTCGCTCCCCGCCGGCGCGTTCACGTCCACCAAGCGCACCACGCCGTCCGACGACGCCGTCGCGAGGACACCGACGGTCGTCGGCGAGAACGCCGCCTGCCACGTCACCGTCCCGGGTCGCCCCCCGCTCGCGGCGGCGTCGTGGACGCGCGAGAGCCTTCGAACCCCGGTGTCCCACACGCGCGCGCGGCCGTCGGAGGACGACGACGCGAGCATCTGCCTCCGGTGCGGGGAGTAACACAGCGACGTGATCCCGCCGCCGCCGGTTCGATCCCCGCCGCCGGCCGTCGTCGTCTCGTCGTCCGCGGTCATCTCCCCGACGGCGAGGCCGGATATCGGCGAGTGCAGGACGACGACGCCGTCGTCGTCGCCCGACGCGAGATGCTGATCCCCCGGACTGTACGTCACGGCGCGGACGCCAACGCGGTGCCCAGTCAACGTCTTCAGCCTGCTCTTGCGCTTCAGGTCCCACAGCACGACGTCCGCGTCGTCGCCCGCGGAGGCGAGGTATCTGCTGCCTTTGCTGAACGCGAGCGCTCGAATCGCGGCGCGCGTCGCGCGCGCGTCGTCGTCGCCAGGGATGCGGCCGAGGAGCTCGCCCGTGGGTTTCAGCAGGTGCGCGCGTCCGTCCGAGCCGCCGCACGCGAGCGCGCCGTTCGTGGGGCTCCACTGGAGGGCGTGGACGTCGCATATCAGCCCCGCGGCGGCGACGCACTCGGCGCTCTGCGACCGACGAGAGGGGCGAGGGTGGGTGAGGAGGGTGGGGACGCGTCGAAGGGTGAACGGATTGGCGCGGCGGACGACGACGGCGCGATTTGATTTACTCGGCAGCGCGATCGATCGGTCCATCGATCGGGGCGGACGAGCGCGGAGCTCGCGCGCACCGTGGCTTCCGGTCGCCAGATTTTCACGTCCGCGCCGCTCGCGGTCGCGAGGAGCTCCGTCATCGCGCGCGTGCACCTCGGCGGCGTGGACGCCGACGACGCGCGAGGGAGTGTGCCGCGCACATTTTTGAAATCTCGTCGCGTCGAGGAAAAACTGTTGGTTTTTCCGACGATGCGATGAGTCGCAGTGGTCAACGTCGCGGGGGACCTGCGCGTCGCCGGCGAGGCGCATGGAGGAGGAGGCCGCGGACCTCCGCGCGGAGGTCCGCCGCGCGCGAGAAGCGCGCGAAGCCCGCGAGCGCGTCCGCTCCGCGCTCGGCACCGCCATCGCGGGCGTCGGCCTCGCGCTCGGCGGGGGAGAGCGCGCGGACGCGGACGGACGAGGAGCAGGAGGTCGCGTCGGGGCGGCCGCCGGGATCGCGTCGTCGCCCTCCGACGACGACGCGATCGAGCGCGCGTGGAACGCGCCGCCGCGACGACCGGACGACGACAGCGACTTGCTCTCGGACGCCGCGCTGAGAAGGATCGTGGACAGGATATACCGCGAGCAAGTCGCGGCGACGCGACTCGCGCGCGTCGCCGGGGAGGGGGGCGAAGAAGATGAGGGCGCGGAGCGACCGACGCGTCGAAGTCGAGCCGCCGCGCGAGGAGACGAGCGCTACCGACGCGCGCGGCGACCGCTCAGCGCGGAGGAGTTCGACGCGCTGCCGTCGTTGAGATACGGCGAGGAGGAGGACGCGGCGAAGGAGGAGGAGGAGGAGGAGGAGGAGGAGGCGGACGCGGCGACGACCGAGCCGACCGAGCCCGCCGTCGCGTCGCCGCCGCCGCCGCCGCCGGAGGATTGCGTCATCTGCGCGTGCGCGTTCGCCCCCGCGGACGCGCTGAAACGACTCCCGTGCGGACACAGTGGGTTCCACGTGGACTGCATCCGCGCGTGGCTGTCGCGCTCGCCGACGTGCCCGCTGTGCAGGTGCGCGTGCCGCGCGGCGCCGCCGCCGCGGACGCGCGACGACGACGACGACGACGGCGACGACGACGACGACGACGACGACGACGACGGCCCGCCGTCGCTCACGGACGCGTCCTCGCTCGCGGACGACGATTTCGTCTCCACCGAGCACCTCGCGGAGCTGCAGAGCATGCACGCGGAGGAGAGCGCGTGGCTGGACCGGTTAGAATCGCAGCCGCGCGCGCGGTTGTACGACCGACTGTACGACCTTCCCGCGGCGGTGGCGGCGGCGGCGGAAGATGGAACGCCAACCGACGCCGACGCCGCCGCCGGCGCGGAGGACGCCGCGCGGACGGTCGCGGCGCGGACGGAGGCGGCGAGAGCGCGCGGCGGCGCGGGGGATGCGAGCTTGGACGCGGGCGCGGCGGCGAGGGCGAGGGAGGAGGGACGCGGAGGACGAAGACGCGGCGAGCGCGCGCCGCCGCCGGGTCCGCCGGGTCGGAGGGTCGATCGCGTGGAGCTCCCGCTGACCACGGCCGCGCTCGAGCGAGACCGCCGGTCTCGCGCGAGCGCCGCCGACGCGCTCGAGCGATGGAGAGGGTCGGAGGGCGCGTCGTGACGAGCGCGCGAGTCGCGGCGGGCGGCGTCTCGCTTGTTAGTTGTACGGAAGTGGAAGTAGTAGTGTACAGTAGTAGCCGTTACGCGGAAGCCGCGGGGTCTCGGCGCTGACACATCACATCCGCCGACGCCGCGCGCGACCCCGGAGAGGCGTCGGGGCGGCGCGTCGCGCACTCTCGACGACCCTGAGACGCGCGCGAGCGACACGATGAGCGATCGAGCCCGCGCGAGCGCGCGATAGACCGCGGACGCGCACGGATACGCCGCATCGCGCGCGCGAGCCGCGTCCGCGAACGGAACTCACGTGAGCGCGGCGTCGTTCGTCGTCGTCGTCGCTCGCGGCGATGCCGGTCGTCGCCGCGAAGCCCGGGCAGGCGCCCCGGACGGTCATGCGCGACCAGTTCGTGACCGACCCGAAGCAACGCCCGAAGAAGAAGCGAAAGCGCCGCAAGCGCGACGACAGATCGTGGTGGGTCAAGACGAAGGAGCGCGTCGCGACGCGATGGCGCGAGCTGAACGAGAACAACACGTCGCTGTACTTGTTCCACGAGCGCTCACGCGTGCGCAAGCGCGCTTGGCGAATCATCCGGCACCCGTACTTCGACAAGGTCGTCATGGCCGCGATCGCGGTCAACTGCGTCTTGCTCGCGATGTACGACCCGACGGCGCCGGACGATTCGTCGTGGAACGCGTCGCTGGCGTACGCGGAGCACTTCTTCAGCGCGTTTTTCCTCGGCGAATTCTTCGTGCAGATCGTCGCGCGAAACTTCTTCATCGGCCCGGGGGCGTACCTCCACAACCCGTGGTTCCGTTTAGACTTCGTCATCGTCGTCTCGGGAACGATGACGCTCGTGATGTTCATGATCGGCGCGTCGGGGGGAGGGAACGTGAGCGGGATGCGGACGTTGCGAGCGCTGAAGCCGCTGCGAACCATCTCCGTGTTTCCCGGGATGCGCGTGCAGGTTGCGACGATACTCGACAGCATGCCGTTCATAGGGAGCGCGATGGTGCTGCTCGGGTGGCTGTACGTCGTATACGGCGTCGTCGGCGTGTATTTGTACGCGGGGAAGCTCACGAGTCGTTGCTACGCGCCGGAGAGCGACGTCGCGATCGCGGAAGAGGCGAACCTGCCGTGCGGCGGCGCGGGCGGCGCGCGGAGCTGCGCGACGAGCGAAGTCTGCGTCGCGTCGAAGGGTGACTACCCCAACTACGGGTTCACGAACTTCGACGACATCGCGTGGGCGTCGCTGACGACGTTCCAGACGCTCACGATGCGCGGGTGGAGCGACGTCATGGACCAGCTCGAGGCGGCGACGGGGTCGCTCGTCGCGACGAAGATGTATTTCATAACGCTCATCGTCTTCGGGAGCTTCTTCGCGCTGTCGTTGGTCACCGCGGTGATCATCGCGCAGTACGTTCGACAGAGTAAGCTGGACGAGAAGACGTCCGGGGTGGAGGGCGCCGGCGGGATTCTGAACTCGCCGTGGTTCCGGCGCCTCAAGCGGAAGCCGTGGTTCGTCCGCGCGAAGCGGTACCTGCAGACGCCGTGGGGATGGCAAAAGCCGACGCGACGGTTCGTCGAGCACCCGAGATTCAACACCGCGATCACGTTCTTGATCCTCGTGAACACCGCGACGCTGGCGTCGTACCACCACGGCATGGACGAGGGCATGAGGGACACGCTGGAGACGACGAACGTGCTCTTAAACGTCGCGTTCGCGATCGAGATGGTACTCAAGCTCGGCGGTCTCGGGTTGATCGATTACTTCGGCGACAAGTTCAACGTGTTCGATTTCGTGATCGTGATCGTCGGCATTCTAGAGATGGCGTTACAGAACGGCGGCCTCACGGTCCTTCGCGCGTTCCGCCTCGTGCGCGTGTTGCGTTCGATTCGCATTCTTCGGACGTATAAAAGAATGAAGGTGCTCATGGAAAACGTCGCCAAGGGTCTGGGCACGATGTTTTGGTTCTCCGCGGTCTTACTCCTCTTCGTGTTCATATTTAGCGTGTTAGGGATGCAACTCTTCGGCGGCACGGCCGGGTTCGAGGACGCGCGGAACAACTTCGACGACCTCGGGAGCGCGTCGCTCGCGGTGTTCAGCATGCTCACCGCCGACGGTTGGCACCTCACGATGTGGCGCGGGATGTCCGGCGCCGGGAGCGCCACCGCGCTGTACTTCGTGTCGTGGATGATGCTCGGGCACTACGTCTTCGTCGCGCTGTTCCTCGCGATGATCGTGTACGGGTTCTCTCAAGAGACCGAGGACGAACGAGTCGCGAGGGAGGAGAGAGAGCGGCTGCAGAAGGAGGCGATGTACGGACCCGACGGAGAGAAGAAGAAACTCGCGCGCGTCAAAGGCGCGGACATGCTCGTGGACAGGATGAGCAACAGAAAGAGTCGGGTCTTCGCGAGAGAGGCGGACGCGATGCGAAAGTGGCTGAGGGACACGGACCAGATGTACGGCGACGACGACGAGTGGAGCAGCGACGAGGAAGGGAAGGCGGAGGAAGCCGCGAAGTTTCTCCTCGCGTTGAACAAGAAGAAGCGAGACGACGACGAGCACGACGACGGCGAGGACGGCGCGGAGGAGGCGACGTTCTCGCTCGTGAAGACGAACGTCGTGGAGGCTCTGAAGCATACCATCACAGCTGGCGTCGCCGTGCCCGTGAGCGTGGACCAGGCTGAGGAGGCGGCGGCGAAGACGGAGGAGGTGTTCGGGTCGAAGCGGCCGTTGGATAAATTTCGAGCCGCCGCGAGGGTGGCGATGGTGGCGGGCCGGTTCAACCTCGCCAGCGGGAAGAAGACCGGCGGCGGCGGCGGCGGCAGCGGCAGCGGCGCGAGCTCGCTGCGGATGTCGCGCGCGAGCGTCGCGCGAGCCCGGGACCCGTTCGAGGGGCTCACTGGGAAGGCGCTGGAGGACGCGATCATCGCGGAGGACGACCGAAGAAGGCTCGAGCGGCGGAAGAGCGGCGGCGGCGGTCTGTTCTCGCGGTTCGTGTCCTCGAAGAGTCTGAGAGCGCGACAGCGCGAGAAGGAGCAGCGGGAGCTCGGCGCCGCCGCGGTCGCCGCCGCGGCGTCCGGCGGCGGGTCGCGTCTGCGAACCTCGCGGGCGTCGCCGCGCGACGACGACGACGACGACATCCTCACCGAGCTCATCAAAGAGAGTCTCCATCGCGCGGAGCGCGACGGCGTCACCCCGGAGGAGATCGCCAAAAAGTTTGGCATCGACGTCGAGGAGGTGCTCGAGCGCGGTGCGCGATCGTCCACGAGCGGCGGGAGTTTCGGGCGCGACGATTTCTCCGACTTTGGCGGACACTCGGCGCGATCGAGTTTCGCCGCGGCGTCTCGGCGGTCGTTCGCCGCCGGGTCCGCGTCCGCGTCCGCGTCCGCGCGCGGCGGCGGCGGCGGCGGCGAGCGCGAGCGCGAGCGCGAGGCGCGCCGCGCCGCGATTCGAGTGCTCTGGGGCGGGTACGACCCCGGGGAGGACCTCCCGGACCCGGAGGAGTACGACAAACCGCTGTCGCCGCGTCGGGGACTGAACGAGTGGATCACGTGCGGCGCGTTGCCGGAGCACCAGTTCGGGTATAAACCGCCCGTCGCGACCGAGGAGGAGAGCAGCAGCGCCGGCGGCGAAAGCGAGGAGGACAGCGAGCAGCTCCGCGACGCGCCCGCGGCGGTTCCCGCGCCGACGGTGACGCGCCGCGCGCCCGTAAACTTGGGGAAAGCGCCCGTCGCGGCGTCAAGGGCGGCGGCGCCGCCGCCGAAAAGAGCGCCGCCGTTTTCCGGTCTGTCTGCCGACATCCCGGCTGGTTTCGGCGCGCCGCAGGCGGTCAGCGCGTCGGGGGGGTCGACGTTTCAAACCCCGGGGAAGCCCGCGCGGTCGTCTTTCGACCCGGGTGTAGACGCGAACACGACGCCGCCGCTCAGCGCGGGCGGAGTCGAGCTCGGCGGAATGCGCACCCCGGTCGCGAGAGGCGGCGGAACCTGGGCGAAACCGGTCCACGGTCGACCCGTCGGTGGAGGGTTCGGCGGTGGGTCGCTCGCGGACCAGCTCACGAAGGTCGCGAAGAAGAAGGGCAATCCGTCGCGCGCGTACGAAGTGCCGGGGCCGGTGATGGAGAGCAACGAGTCCTCGAACGGCGGGTGGCTTCGCGCGACGCTCCGCGCGCTCGGTTTCTCCCGCGGCGACGAAACCGCGGCGCCGAGACCGTCACCTGGACGTCCGACGCCCTCCGCGCGGCGGGCGCGACGCCCGCGCCGCGGTCCTGGCCCGGTCACGGAGGCGTGGAACCCCCTGGACGACGATGCCGCGTCCGACGACGAGGGCGCGGGCGCGGGCGGCGCGGGGATCGGAGGACGCGGGTCGGTCGCCGACAGGATGGACGCCGCGCGCGCGAGAGGACAAAACTTGAGAGCCGACGCGCAAGGCACGCTCGCGGGCAGAAGCCGCGCGTACGCGTCGCTCATGGCCGCGGGCGCGGCGGCGAGCGCGCAGAAGGACCGCGAGGATAAGGCGGCGTTGGAGGAACGCGAGCGAAAGAAGCGGTTCGAAGAGCGGCTGAAAGCGAGAGGGATGACGCGCGCGAGCGTCGGACGCCGCGACGGGCTCGACGGGAGCGTTTTGTCCGACGACGACGTCTCGGACGAAGACGACGCGAGCTTCGGGGGATACCCCGCGCCCGGGTTCGACTCCGCGCGATCGACGGACGACCTCGGCTCGCGTCGGCTCAGAGAGATTCACGACGCGTTCGATCAAAACATGGGCCTCGGATTCGACAGCGCGCGCGGCGGCGGGTCCAGCCCGAGCCAAGTCTCGTCGACCTCGCGAAGCGCCGCGTCGAAGTATCTCCAAGTCGAGCGCCAGAGGGACAAGTCCAAGGACATGGCGCGAGGGATGGTGGACCGCATGCAAATCGCGCGCGGGCGACGGACGACGATCCAGCCATTGTACAACGACGACGCGTTGCTTCCCCACGCCACGGAGGATTTCGCGCTTCCGAAGATGACCGCGACGCTGCGCGGCGGCGAGGCTGGGGCCAAGAAACGCCGCCTCGACGGCGTTCCAGACCGCGACGTCGTCGTCTCCGCGCCGATGAAGACGGCGAAACGGCCGGAGCACAAGATCACGAAGGACGTCGTCGAGGCGCAGATTTTCGGCTCGGAGCCGCCGCCGGTGTTCATGAAGCACTCGTCCTTGTTCGTGTTTAAACCCCAAAGCGCGTTCAGAAGAGTCGTGTTCATGGTCGCGAACGATAAGCGCTTCGAGGCGATCATCTTGACGCTGATATTCTTGAGCGCCGTCGCGCTCGCGATCGAAGACCCTTCTGTCGAGGAGACGTCCGCGCTCGGAACGGTGCTGTTCAACCTCGACGTCGCGTTCACGACCGTGTTCGTGGTCGAGATGTTCAGTCGCATCATCGCGCAAGGGTTGATCATGCACGAGGGCGCGTACTTGAGGGTCGGGTGGAACGTGCTCGACGGCGTCATCGTCGTCATGTCCGTCGTCGCGATCCTTCTCAGGGGGAGCAACCTGAGCATCGTTCGGAGTTTCCGGACGCTGCGCGCGTTGCGGCCGCTGCGAATGGTGCGCCGGCTGCGATCGATGCAGCTCCTGATGGCGACGCTGCTGCAGTGCGCGCCGCAGATTGGCAACGTCATGCTCCTCGGTCTGTTCGAGTTTGTCATCTTCGGCATCCTCGGCGTGCAGCTCTTCGGCGGGAAGTTTTGGCGGTGCACGGACGGCTCCGTCGGGCACGTCGATCAGTGCTCCGGCGCGTTCATCGGCGCGGACGGCGTGTCGTCCACGCGCGCGTGGGTGAACCCGGTGTATAATTTCGACCACGTCGGGCAAGCGATGATGTCTCTGTTCGTGATCGCGACCATGGACGGCTGGGTCGAGCTCGCGCACCGAGGCATGGACGCGCGAGAGGTGGACTTCCAACCGGAGAAGAATTACGCCCCGGCGAACGTGCTCTTCTTCGTCGCGTTCGTGCTCCTCGGGAGCCTGTTCTGGGTGAACATTCTCCTCGGCGTGCTCATCGATCGGTATCGACGCATCGCCGCCGTGGTTGGGGACATGAATTTCGTCACCGAGGGGCAGCAACGCTGGGCGGAGGCGCTGAAGATGAAGCAGAAGCAAAACGAAGTCGTGCACGGCGAAAAGGCGGCGGCGGAGGAGCCGCGGTTTTTCATCCGCAAGTACCTGTTCCGGTTCGTGAGTCACCGGTACTTCGAGGTTTACATCCTATTCTGCATCGCCGCGAACGTCGCGATCATGGCCGCGCAGCACGAGGGGCAGTCGGAGTCGTTCACGTCGTTCGGGGAGACGATGAACGTGGTCTTCACGGTGATTTTCATCTTGGAGTGTTCCTTGAAAGTCGGCGCGTTGACGTTCAAAGGGTACCTGAAAGACCCGTGGAACCGGTTCGACTTCGTCATCGTGGTGGGGTCTTTACCCGAGCTCGCGGGCGTGGAGATGGGCCCGGGGACGACGATCCTGAGGATATTCAGGATGGGTCGTCTGTTCAAGATTCTCCGAGGCGCGCGGAGCCTGCGCGCGCTGTTCGACTCGCTCCTGCTAACCGCGCCGACGCTCGCGAACGTCGGCGGGCTCCTCTTCCTCGCGATGTTCATATTCGCCGTGTTGGGGATGAACCTCTTCGGCGAGCTCCCGCACGGGCAGTTCATCACCGACACGACCAACTTTTCGACGTTTGGAAACTCGCTCATGACGCTGTTCAAGGTGCTCACGCGCGACGGCTGGAGCAAGATCATGGTCGACGCGTTGGACTGCGAGCTCGTGGAGGGGTTCTTAGAGGGCGACTACGCGACGTCGTGCGGCGTGACGTTCACCGCGCCCGCGTTCTTCGTGATGTTCGTCCTCATCGCGTCGTTCGTGTTCCTGGGGCTGTTCGTCGCGGTGATGCTGGACGAGTTCACGGAGAACGCGACGAGCGAGGGGTTGCTGTCGACGTCAAACTTTTTCGACGCGCTGCAGCGGAAGATGCTGCTCGACGGGTTCATGCACAAGCTGAAGCTGCGCCTGGAGCAGCACCGCGCGAAGCACGGGCTGTCCAAGTCGAGAAGAGGGAAGACGCGGTGACGGAGGACGCGAGGGGGGGGCGGGAGGAAGAGAGGAGCGCCGGTCGTTTAGGTTATTACGTATGTAGAGTGAATGTTTGTCAAAACTAGATGGAAGCTAAAAGAATCATTTTGTCCTCTGAACATGTTCCCCCTAGTATGAGGGCGCTCCGTCTCCGTCTCGCCTCGCCTCGTCGCCTCGTCGCCGTCGTCGTCGTCGTCGTCGTCTTCTCCTCTCCATCTCGACGCTCGTCCTATTTACCCCGCGTGCCCCGCGCGGTCCTGCGCGGCGTCGTTCGACACCTTGAACCGCTTCGCGCCGTCCGCCCCTGTCTCGAGATATTCCTTGACGGGGTGCGTCGACGGCGGCGCGCTCCCCCCTCCCGAGCCGCCGCTGTCGTGGCCGCTGTCGTTCCCGCTGCCGCCGTCCGCGGCCGGCGGGTTGTTTCCCGCCATCGCCGCCTGCATCGCCGCGACCGCGGCCTGCATCGCCGCCGCGGGGTCCACCCCGGGCTGCGACATCGACGCGAACGCCGCCGCCGCGGAGAGCTGCTGCTGCTGCTGCTGCTGCTGCTGCTGCTGCTGCTGCGCGTGCTGCGCTTGCATCTGCTGCATCGCCGCCATCGCCGGGCCCATCATCGGGCCCATCATCTGCATGAACGACGCCCAGTTCGGGACCGCGGGCGTCGGCGTCGGCGTCGGCGCCGCCGCGGTCATCGCCGAGCCCGCGCCCGCGTCCACCGCGGCGTTCGGCGGGAAGAAACCCGGAGGCGCCGCCGCCGTCGACGTCGGCTGCGCCGACGTCGTCGCCGCCGGCGCGCCCCCCGACGTGCTCGGCGCGTCCCCGCTCGTCGCGGGCTGCGCCACCGTCGCGCCGCCGCCCGAACCGAACGCTCCCGGGAACGCCGCCGCGAACGGGTTGAACCCGCCCGTGAACCGCGAAGCCGCCGCCGCCGCCGTCGCCGGGTTGGACCCGAACATTCCCATCTGCGCCGCCGCCAACGCGGCTTGGACGCTCTCGGGGTTCATCCCCGCGCCCAGCGCGGTCGCGGCGCCGTACGGACTTCCGCCGACGCCCGCGTGCTGCATCGCCTGCATCGCATGCATCGCCTGCATCGCGACGAACGGGTTCAGACCGCCCGCGGCGCCGCCGCCGAACGCGCCCCAGCGGCGGCGAACGGGACGCCGCTCGCGTGCTCCGCGCCGGAGACTTCGCTCCCGGCTCTCAAGCTCGGGAATCCACCCGTGTCGCTCCTCGGACCCGCGCCAGCGGCGCCGTCCTCCGCCTCCGTCGCGCTGCCGTCCGAGGAGCCGTCGCGGCGGTCCCGAGCTTGAGCGCCGACGGCGCCCATCGCGTACGCGGCCGCCACCTTCGCCGCCGCCGCCGCCGCCGCCTGCGCCAACCCGCCGAGCTGGCCGGCGCCGGCTGCGCCGCCGGCGCCGTGGCCGCGCGCGCTCGCGCTCGCGAGGATGCGGCCCGCGACGACGGAAGGGTCCTCGTCGTGCGCGCCGAGACCCGCAGCATGCCCGGCGCCGTTCTTGTTCTTCCTTCGGCCCGCGCCGACGGGGACGTTGCGGAGCATCCCGCCCGCGGTCCAGTACCGCTGGCATCCGCGGCAGAAATACCGCGGCTGCTTGATGTTGTAGTTGTTGTAGTAGCAAAACTTGGTCTCCTCGGACGCGCATCGCGGGCACGGCGTGATCCCCTCCGGTCGTGGGAGCTTCGGGCGGCCGTTCGCCTCGAGCTCGACCGCGGGCTCGGCGTCGTCGCCGCCGTTCGCGGCGTCGTCGCCCTTATCGCCGCCGCCGTCGGCGCCCGTGGTGCTTTTTCTCGACGCGACCGTCGCGACGCTCTTCTCCGCCTTCGCCTTTCCCGGCTTCGCGTCGTTTCCCGCTTTCCCGGACTTGCCCGCGTCCTTGCCGCCCTTACCGCCCTTGCCGCTCGCGTTCGAGTTCCCCTTGATCGTGCTCGTCGGCGAGCTCTTTTTCCCCGCGTGATCGTCCTCGTCCCCGTTCGCGCTGCCGGAAGAGCTCCGGAGCTCGTCCGCGGCCGCGGCGAGAATCGCATCCTGAGCGAGTAAAGAGAGCGGGAGGAGACGTGTGAGGGTGGGAAAAATAAACAAAATGAGCCTCTGGCGCGCCAGCCGCGCGCGGGAAGCGCGGTAGGGAGACGAACCGATCGGACCGGGCATCGGGCGCGTTCGACCGCGTCCGCGCGCGATACGCGCGGATGTGAACGCGCGTTCGCGTCGCGTCGCGCGCGCGCGACGCGCGTCCGTCTCGCGACGCGGGGAAAAAAGGACCCGTTCGCGCGTGCGCACACGCGGACAGCGCGATAAAAGCGCACAATTCTATCTAATGCGGGGTCCGCGCGCGGGCGCGCACCAGGCCGAGCGGGACTTCTTTCTTCACGCCGCCGCGCTTCGATTGCGTAGAAGCCGCGTTAGGATCACCCCCGTCGTTTTTCGCGCCGCGTCCGCCGCGCGCGGACGCGACGTCGCCCTTCGCGGGGGGGGACATATCTCCCGCTTTCAAGCGAAAGAAAAGGTCTTCGTAAAGATCTCGCCTCCGCGGGCCGGGATCGCGTGCGCGCGCGCCGTGCGCGGTGGTATCGCTTCGCGTTCGCGCGCGATCGGTCGAGCGTCGACGTTAGGAAGAAACGTCGCCGATCGAGTCGCGAGCCGTGCGCGTCGTTCGCTTCAGTCGCGCGGCAATGACGTCTCGCGCGCGGACGCCTCGCCTTTTTCGTTAGCGACGCGAGCGTATCCCCTGGACCGCGGGTGGCTCTGAGCCGCCCGCTGGCTCAAGATACGCAAAAAATCCGCTCTTGGCGGCAAGCAGATAACCTTTTTCGGGCAAAAAGCCGAATCGGCATTAAAAATCTAAATATATTTTCAGTGTGATTGCTCATACGACGGTACGAGTAGTACACAACCGTCGCGAAGCGCCTTTTCCGAACGTCGTGATTTGTCGAAACCGCTTCAAAGGCAGCTGACCGCTCTCGAAGCCGACGTTCGACATTTGATCGGCATCTTCTCACCGCGGACACATCGGTCAACGCCACGGCACGCCCGCGCGTCCCTTCGCGGCCTCGTCCGCCACGCTGGCGGTAACGGATTCGCTGATTCGCTTTTTGAAGGCATTTGGCGACGCGGCTTGAAGGCGCGCGCGGGCCGGACTCGGTCGACGCGCCGTCAGCAAAAATCTCTCCATCCGCCCGGCGCTTTTGTCAAAAAGCGAGCGCGCGCGGAGGAACCCATAGTCCGCGCCCGCCTTCGCCGGCGCGCCACGATGCACGCCTCGACGCTGCGCTCGCGCGCGGGCGGGACGCGCGCCCGCGTCGTCGCGCGTCCCCCGACGCGCGCGCCGACGCGCGCGGTCGCGCTCGCGCGCGCGTCCGGAGCTACGGGCGCCGCCGCCGCCGCGCGCGAGCGGCAATTACAATCGTCCCGACGCGCCTCCCCGTCGCGTCGCGCGCGCGCCGCCGTCGCCGTCGCGCGCGCGAAAGCCCCGGGCGGCGGGTTCGCGCGCCCGGATGAGTCCACCTCGCCGCGCGCGGAGGACGAGCTGTACTGGGACCCCGCGGACCTGGAGGACGAGGACCCGCCGCTGATCGAGGTGGACGACCTCGACCTGGACGACGACGACGACGACGACGACGACGCGTGGTTCTTCGTCCCGGACGGCGCGGGCGTGGACGTCGGCGACGACGTCCTGTTCCAGATCGGGACGGAGGGCGACGACGACGACGACGACGACTTCGGGTTCGCGACCGGGTTCACGACGACGACGCTGGACGGGGACGACGACGACGACGACGACGAGAGCGACGACGCCGCGACGCGGACGCGGAACAAGAGCAACCGCGCGCGGCGGCGGCGCGACGCCGTCGACGCCGCCGCGGAGGACCGCGGCTCGGGTTCGAAGGCCACGGAGCTCCCGAACGCGGCGCAGACGAAGGCGGACCGGAAGAAACGAGAGGACGTCGCGCGGATGGTCGCCATGGGCGTCCCCGAGAAGCTTTTGCGGCGACTCGAGAGCGAGAAGGCGGCGGTGGCGTCGTTCAACGAGCGGAAGCAGACGGAGCAGGCGCGCAAGACGCACAAGCGGATGACGATCGTCGCGGGGACGTACGCGCGACGGAAACTTCTGTCCCCGAGCGGGTTGGACACGCGGCCGATGATGGGCATGGTGCGCGGCGCGACGTTCGACATGGTCATGGCGTTGATCGGTTCGGCGAGCAACGTGCAGTTTCCGGATCCGTCGTCGCGGTGGCTCGACCTCTTCGCCGGTACCGGCGCGATCGGCCTCGAGGCGATGTCGCGAGGGTGCGTGGAGTCGCACTTCGTGGAGATGGACCCGTGGGTGACGAACAACGTCCTGGAGAAGAACATCAAATCGTTGGGGCTGACGCGATCCGACGCGCGCGTGCACACGTCGAGCGTGGAGGCGCGTTCTATACACTGGTCCCCATACGACCCCGTCCGCGTGGTGAACGCCGATCCTTACGGACTTTTCCCGGCGTGTCTCTCCGCCCATCCCTCGCTTTCAATCCCCGCTCTCGACGCCTTTCAACTCCAACTGACGCCTATGAACTCCACCCCGCCGTCGCTTTGTATGGAACGACCCTGAGGCGTTTTTGGCGTCGCACAAGCGAAGCGCGAAAGCCGCGGGCGGCGCGTTCGACTTCGTGTCGTTCTGCCCGCCGTACTACAAGGTGTCGTACCCGGAGCTTCTGCTCGAGCTCGACGCGAGCCCGCTGCTCGCGGAGCACACGGTGCTCGTCGTCGAGTACGCGCGGTCGCAGAAGCCGGAGATGAAGGCGTCGATCGGGCGGCGACTGCGGCGGCTGCGGGACCGGCGGTACGGCCGGACGTTCGTCGCCGTGTACGCGTGCGACGGGAGGGAGATGCCGGACGAGGACGACGAGTGGGCGGCGCAGCCGGAGGAGGCGACGCGGTTCGGGAAGGTGGTTCGAGGGGGGGGGAAGCGGGACGCCGTCGCGAGCGATTGACGGGTGGGCAACCCTAGATTTTAATTTGCAGTGAAGAGTTGAGTCTTGATTGTTACCCCGGGACGTCGCTCAGTCCGCCCAGGGCTCGACCGCCTTGCCCGTCTTCGCGATCTTCTCGATGACCTCCTCCTGCGTCACCGAGCCCTTCACCGTGACTTTCTGAGTCTCGAGGTTCACGTCGAACGCGTCCACGCCTGCGACGGAGCGGGGCGGCGGGGGAGACGGGGAGGATCGGATCTGATCAGTCGGCCGCGCGCACAGCTGGCGTCGAGGGGACGGGACGGCGCGCGATCCGAGCGCCGAGACGCACCCTCCATCTTCGAGAGGACGCGCTCGACCGCGCCGGAGCACCCTCCGCACATCATCGCGACCTTGAGGACGATCGTGTTCGACATGACGAGCCGTCGTGTCGAGCGCGCGCGGGAGTGACTCGACGCGCGCGCGCGCGCCCCGCGAAGCCGCCCGCGTGAAAAAACTCGCGGGAACTCAATGAATCTCCTTTCCTCATCGTTCAAAACGACCAGACGGCGACACTAAGCGGGGAGCGACCGACGCGCGAGCGACGCGCGCGAGCTGACCCCCCGGAGGAACACCACTCGTCATGACGCCCGCGCGCGCGTCTAGACGACGCGCGGACGTCGCGTAGGCGAGCGCGCGTCGTCGCGTCGCATCGCGCGAGAGGAGACGCGCGAGATCCGCGGGCGTGTCGGCACCGCCGCACCACCACCGCCAGATACAGTAGATTTCTCGGTCGCGTCCGCACGCGCGCGGCTCCGTCCGCGGCCAGCATCCCGCCGCGACGGCGAGGACGATGCTCGGTCAGACGTACGCGTGGGCGCTGCGCCGCGTCTTCACGTTCGTCCTCAAGCGCGCGCTCGGCAGGCTCCTCCTGTCCGACCTGGACGCGGATAACCTCGAGATCGCGCTGCGAGACGGCGTCGTGCGCCTCGAGCGCGTCGCCGTCGACTGCGACTACCTCGAGCGCGCGACGGGAGAGGCGCGGCGACGACGCGGTCTGCGCGCGAAGCGCGCGAACTTGGGGTGGGTCCAGGCGACTATACCGTGGCACGCGCTCGGCGCGAAGCCGTGCGTGTTCGAGCTGGGCGAGGTGGACGTCGCGCTCGCGCCGAGACGCGACGGAGACGCGAACGACGACGACGCCGACGCCGCCGACGACGACGACGACGCCGACGACGACGACGACGCGAGCGCCTCGCGCGGCGCGACGAACGACGGCGCGAAGATGGTGAAGCGCGCGATGGACGCCGTCTTACGCGGCGTGCGCGTCCGCGTCGTCGACGTCGCGGTGACGGTGGAGGACGACGACGCGCGCGCGCTCGCGACGCTGAGAGCCGACGTCGTCGATTACGGCGACCGCGCCGCGGACGAGACGACGACGTCGACGACGACGACGAAAGACAAAGCGATCGCGTGCGAAGGTCTCGTGCTCGAGGCGAACGGCCGCGTCGTCCTCGGCGGCGTCCGCGAAGACGACGACGAGGAGGAGGGTGAAAACGGCCTCGGGTTGGATGTTTCCGCCGCGGCGTCGGTCGACGTCGACGGCGCCGCCGCCGCGCGCGTCGAGGCGACGACGGACCTTCGCGCGCGGTTCGGTCCCGCCGAGGTCGCCGCGCTCGCGCGCGTCGTCGCCATGGCGACGACGACGACGACGACGACGACGACGACCTCGACCCGCCGCGCGGGGGCTGCCGCGACCGCGACCGCGACCGCGACGCGCCGCTCGACGACGTTCTTTGAGGACGTGTGCGACGACGACGACGGCGAAGACGCGTATTCCGACGCGTTGCGCGAGAGCGTGGACGAGCTCTCTCGAGCCCTCGCGGGGGAAGACGGAACGTCGACCGACGCGGCGTCCGGATCCGAGCGCGCGCGCCGCCGCCGCCGCCGCTCCCTCAGCGTCTCCGCGACGTTCCCGCGCGTCAGTCTGCACGCGCTGTACGAGGACGACGCGCGCGGCGAGAGCGACGACGACGCGGGGTGGGACGTCGCGTTCGTCGAAAGCGAACGGCGTACGGAGCATCTCGACGTCGCCGTCGACGGCGTCTCGCTCGCTTTCGCCTCCGTGGACGACGACGACGACGCGACGACGACGACGACGACGCTGACGTGCGTCGCGGAGGGTTTCGACGTCGCGGAGTACCTCTCGAACCCGCTCGCGGACGGCGGCGACGCGCTGAGGCACGCCGGCGGCGGCGTCGCGGCGGTCGCGCGCGCCGTCCCCGTCCCGATCGACGACGACGACGACGGCGGCGGCGGCGCGGCGGCGACGCCGCGGTGGCAGTTCCACCCGGAGCGACGCGGCGCGCTCGTGAAGACGCCGGTGGCGTGCGTCGCGAGAGGCGGCGGCGGCGGCGGCCGCGCGATAGAGCTCGTCGCGTCGACGCGAGAAGACCGGGGTCCGTCACCGTCGCGCGTCGCCGCCGCCGTCGACGTCGCGCTCGCGCCGGCATTTTTCTGGGTCGACGTCACGCTCCCCGACCGCCTCGCGTTGCTTCTCGACGCGGCGGCGACGCGGCATCGCGAGGGCGACGCGACCGCGTCGTCCGGCGCGATCGACGGCGACGGGTTGGAGCTCGATCTCGAGTTCGCGTTGACGTGCGCGCGCGTCCGCGTCGCGCTCGCCGCCCCCGCCCCGCCGACGGACGCCACCGGTCCGCGGATCGCGTCCGTCGTCGTCGACGCGCGAGCCGCGGCGCGCGCGGCGCTGGTGACCGCGGCGGCGGCGACGAGCGGCGCGTCCGGGCCCGTCGTCGAGCTCGCGTGCGACGCGATCGACGTGCACGTGGTTCCGAACGCGCGCGTCGGCGGCGGCGCGGGCGCCGACGCGGGCGCGAGGGCGCTGCGACTCGAGGGCGCGGGCGACGACGTCGTGCGCGCGCGCGCGCGGTTCCAGTCCGCGTCGCGACGAGCGACCGGAGACGGCGTCGCGGACGCGGCGTTGCGAGAGATCTCGCGGCGCGCGTCTCCGGAGGAGGAGGAGGAGGAGACCGCGACGGAGGCGCGTCCCATACACTGGTCCCCATACGACCGCGTCGGCGTGGTGAACGCCGATCCTTAAGGACTTTTGCCAGCGTTTCAATCCCCGCCCTCGACGCCTTTGAACTCCATCTGACGCCTTTGAACTCCACCCCGACGTTCGCTCCTACAGAACGACCTCGAGACGCGCGCGACGGCCGCGTCCGCGGCGCGCGCGGAACTGTTCGCGCCGACCGCGTCCGCGAGCGTTCGCGCCGGCGTCGCCCGCGCGCTCGCGTCGCTGTCGAGCGCGCTGTCGTCGCTTCCGGACGGTAACCCGTTTAAGATCGCGCCGCCGCCGTCGGAGGCGACGGTGCCGCCGCTGACGGCGCGATGGCGCGCGAACGAGTTCGTCCTCTCCTTCGACGCCCCGGACGCCGAGGGGATCGACGACGACGACGACGGCGGTTCCCCGGAAGCCGCGTGGCGAGGGCCCGCGTCGTCGATGTTCCAGTCCGCGATGTCGTCGTCGACGATACTCGCTCCCGAGGAGGACATCGCGCGCGCGCGCGCGTCGTCGCCGTCGTCGTCCTCCACCTCCTCCCCGGCGGCGGCGCTGCGGCTCCGCGACGTCGATTTTTTTCTCGCTTCTTCCCTCGCCGGCGTCCAGGGCGCTGACCTCGTCTCGCTGCGCGCCCTCGACGCGCGCGCGTCGCATGAGCCCGCGGACGAGGACGCGGCGCACGAAGACGTCGTCGTCTTCGCGAAGCACGACGCGCACGTCGAGACCGCGGGCGTCGTCGTGAGGTACGCGAGGGCGCCGGGACGAGGACGCGCGGTGGACGCGATCGCGTCGGGCGGCGCCGCGCTCTTCCGCGGCGGCGACGGCGAGGCGGTCGTCGACGCGCGGCGGACGTTCGCGCGCGCGGTGGAGGCGATCGACGCCGTCGTCGCGGAGGTGGTCGCGTCGGCGGCGCGGGCGCGTCGCGCGGACGATGATGACGATGACGACGTGGATGAAACGCGCGAACGTGAACCGTTTTACGCGTTCGCGGAGATTCGCGAGACGGCGGCGGCGTTCCTCGCCGGCGAGGGGACGACGACGACGACGACGCGACTCGGCGTCGCGCGCGTCGACGCCGCGCGTCTCGCGATCGCGCCCGACGGCGACGGCGGCGCGACGCGACGCTCGCTCTCGATCGAAGGTTTCAGCGTCCACCTCGCGTCGCCGACGGAGGCTGACGTCGGCGCCTCGGCACCGCGCGCGACGCGAATGGTCGACATCCCCGGGTTCCCGTGCACGCCGTCGACGCTCGCGGCGGCGGGGATGGCTCAGGTCGCGCGCGAGCGCGCCTCGCGAGCGGATCTCGCGGTCCGCGCCGACGGGACCGTCTCCGCGGCGGCGGCGCGCGTGACGCGGCTGAAGTGCGAGTTTAAGAAGGACTCGTTCGACGCCGCGGCGGCGCTCGCGGCGGCGATGGCATCGACGTCGCCGACGAAGCCGGAGACGCCGCCGCCGCGTCCGCACCCCGCGCGCCCTCGCGCGAAGATTCGCGTCCGACCGAGCGACGCCGACGTCGTCGAAGACGCGTTCGCGAGAGGCTGGTCCGACCGCGACGTCGTCGCCGAGCGCTCTCGCGCGGGACGGACCGCGAAGACGCGCGACGACGCCATCATCGAGGACTACTACTCATACGGCGGCGAACGCGCGGAGCGCTTCCGCCGCGTAGAGCGCGAACGACGCGCGCGGCGGCTCGCGCGATCGACGACGCTTCGAGGGGAAACCCCGCCCGCCGCGGCGTGCATCGTGCGCGGCGGCGGCGCGGGCGAAGACGCGAGAGTGGGAACACCGGAACCCGCGCGCGTCGTCGAGTCCTCCGTCGTCGTGAGCGTCGTCGCGCCCGCGGCGGCGACGGCGACGGCGCTCCACGCGTCGGTCCTCGCGTCGCGTCGCACGTCCGCGTCCGTCCTCCTCTGCGACGACGTCGACATCGCGCGTATTCGTCTTCCTCCGGTGGCGTGGAAACGCGCGCCGCCGCCGCCGGGTCGCGACGCCGACGACGAGCAACGCGCGACGTGGTTCGACGGAGGCCCGCCGTCGGCGGTCGACGTCGACGCGCCTTTCGAGCGCGCCGCGGAGAACGCGCGAAGCACGCGCGCCGGCGACGGCGGCGAAGCGACGACCGCGACGACGGTTCGCGTCGCTCGCGCGGAGTGCGTCCTCGCGAGCGGGTCGGCGTGGGGGACGGACGGAACTGAACCGTCGCGCGGACGAGAGGGCGTCAAGGTGTCCGTCGCCGGCGTCGTCGCGAGAAGGGAGGATTTCGCCGCCGACGCCGCCGGCGCCGCCGCCGCCGTCGTAGCGAACCGCGCGACGGTATCGATCGCGGAGTTCTCCGTCCTACACCTCGCGACGACCGACGCCGCCGCCGACGCCGACGCCGCCGACCGCGCGCTGTGGAGGAAAGTCATCGCGGTCGACGCGTCGATCCCCCGCGAGGACGGCGCGCCGACGCTGCGCGCGGGACTGACCTTCGTGCGTCCGTGCGCCGACGCGGAGCTCGAAGCCCGCCTCCGCGTCGAGTCGCTGCCGCTCCACGCGAGGCTCGACCAGCGCGTCCTCGCGTTCGCGCGCGGGTTCGGGTTTAGGTCACCGGCGGCGTCGGAGGCTCCGAGCGCCGCGGACGGCGACGAGGTCGCCGCCGGAACGGCGTCCGGCGCCCCCCCGCCGCGGCCGTATTTCCAAGTCGTGGACGTCAAGGCGCCCGGCGTTCGCGTCGAATACGCGCCCCAGCCCGTGGACGTGATCGCGTTGAAAAACGGCTCGATCGCGGAAGTTTTAAACCTTCTCCCGCTGAGCGGCGACGTCTCGCTGTCGTTGCCGCGCGTCGTCGCGCGCGGCCTGAGCGGCTGGCACGCGGCGCTCGACGCCGTCCTGGCGCGTTGGCTCGACGATGTGAGCGCGACGCAAGCGCACAAATTCGCGTCGTCGCTCGCGCCCGTGCGCGCGGCGGCGGCGATCGGCGAGGGCGCGAGAGCGCTGGTGACGACCCCTCTGGAGTTCAGACGCGCGGGAAAGCGCGGCGGCGCGTGGACGGGCGCGGCGGTGGGCGTCGCGAGGTTCGTGCGCGCGGTGAGCGTGGAGGCTTTGGGCGCGGGTGCGAAAGTCGCGAGCGGCGCCGCCGCCGTCGCGGGCGCGGCGGGAGCGGGCGTTCTCGCCGTCTCCCCGACGCCCCCCGAGCCGTCCGGCGTGCGCGAGGGGCTCGTCCAGGCCGCCGCCCGTCTCTCCCTCGGCGTCGACGCCGCCGCGCGCGGGGTGAAGTCCGGCCCGGTGAGGAAGTATCGCGACGGCGCGCGCGCGGCGGAGGTGGCGAGGAGCGCGGCGGCGGCGGGCGCGGCGGCGGCGGCGGCGGTTGGGGTCGCGACCGCGGACGCGTTGCATCGCGCGCTGCTGGGGGCTCGGAACCAGATCAGGGGGAGGAGATCGTCCAGAGCAGCCGGAGCCGAGGACGCGTGCGCGTACGAAGAGGAGGAGGAGGACGACGAGGAGGAGGTGTACGAACAGTAGAGACGATTATTTTTAGATTCACACTCGAGAAGACTCGGGCGGGCTCGCGTTGTTACTTTCATTCCGCTCGCGCGCGCTCCACGGGATGGCGGTCGACGCCGAGGGAGGACCTCCTCCCGCCGGGGAGGACGACGGCGCCGGGGAGCTGTACTGGCGGAGCAGGGCGAACGCGAAGGACGCGGAGCTGCGTCTGCTGCGCGCGCTCGTCGGCGCTTCGTCGCGCGTGAGATTCGAAGCGAAATCGCCGTCGTCTGAAGCGAGGCCGAGCGAAGACGCGTCGACGTCGCCGCGGCCGCCGCCGCCGCCGCCGCCGCCGCCGCCGCCTTCCGTCGCGAACACGCCGCTCTCGAGCCCGCTCGTCGCGTCCCCGCTCGCGACCGCGCGTCGCGCGAGGGAGGAAGAAGACGCGGCGACGGCCATCGCGAGCGCTCGAGCGATCGAGCACCTCCAGACCGAGCTCCTCCGACGGGAAGCGCAGGCGCGACGGACGGCCGCGGCGCTCGCGCGCGCGAAGGAGGACGGCGAGACGCGAGACGCGCGCGTCGCGGCGCTGTGCGAGCGATGGGAGCGCGCCGCGGCGGAGACGCGCGCGGCGCACGAGGACGAAGTCGGGGCGCTGAGAATGGAGAACGACGAGCTGAAGCTCCGCGTCGACGAAGCGGACGCGCGCGCCGCCACCGCGGAGGCGGAGCTGTCCAGGGCGACCGCCGCGAGGGACACCGCGCTCGCGGAGCTCGCGCTGGAGCGGAGGCTCGCGGAGGCGGACGCGGAGAGGGAGCGGCGGAGGAGGCGGGAGGCGCCGGTCACGCCGCCGAGGCTGGTGTTCACGCCGCCGCCGCCGCCGCCGGGACCGCGGTTCGGGGGGACGGCGGGGGACGCGAAGACGCCGCCGCCGGTTCCGAGGGAGGCGCAGCTCGCGGCGGTGCTCGGGGGCGGGCGCGAGCCGCTGTTCATACCCGCGGTGGACGAAGAGTGAATAGTCGTGTCGTTCGTTCGCGTTACAAACTCCGCGTCGTATTCGTGTTGGCCTACAGAAGAGCGCGTCGTCCTACCTGACTCGTCTCACGGAGCGCCGTTCGCTCGCGCCCACTGTAGCACCTCCAGGTTACGTTCTCTCTCGGCACAGACGCAAGTCATCTCGTCCCACGGACAGCCGTTCGCGCGCGCCCACTGGAGCACCTCCAGGTGGCCGCCGTCCGCGGCCCAAGAGCAAGTTCTCTCGTCCCACGGCCAGCCGTTCGCACGCGCCCACTGGAGCACCTCCAGGTGGCCGCCTTTCGCGGCACCGGCGCAAGTCAGCTCGTCCCACGGAGCGCCGTTCGCGCGCGCCCACTGGAGCACCTCCAGGTGGCCGCCTTTCGCGGCACAGACGCAAGTCATCTCGTCCCACGGACAGCCGTTCGCGCGCGCCCACTGGAGCACCTCCAGGTGGCCGCCGTCCGCGGCAAGGGCGCAAGTCGTCTCGTCCCACGGGCAGCCGTTCGCGCGCGCCCACTGCAGCACCTCCAGGTGGCCGCCTTCCGCGGCGTCCCTGCAAGTGTTCTCGTTCCACGGAGCACCGTTCGCGCGCGCCCACTGCAGCACCTCCAGGTGGCCGCCAGCCGCAGCCCCGTCGCAAGTGTTCTCGTCCCACGGAGCGCTGTTCGCGCGCGCCCACTGCAACATCTCGAGGTGACCGCCACCCGCGGCACTGGCGCAAGTCCACTCGTCCCACGGACAGCCGTTCGCGCGCGCCCACTGGAGCACCTCCAGGTGGCCGCCTTTCGCGGCACAGACGCAAGTCATCTCGTCCCACGGACAGCCGTTCGCGCGCGCCCACTGGAGCACCTCCAGGTGGCCGCCGTCCGCGGCCCAAGAGCAAGTTCTCTCGTCCCACGGCCAGCCGTTCGCACGCGCCCACTGGAGCACCTCCAGGTGGCCGCCTTTCGCGGCACCGGCGCAAGTCAGCTCGTCCCACGGAGCGCCGTTCGCGCGCGCCCACTGGAGCACCTCCAGGTGGCCGCCTTTCGCGGCACAGACGCAAGTCATCTCGTCCCACGGACAGCCGTTCGCGCGCGCCCACTGGAGCACCTCCAGGTGGCCGCCGTCCGCGGCAAGGGCGCAAGTCGTCTCGTCCCACGGGCAGCCGTTCGCGCGCGCCCACTGCAGCACCTCCAGGTGGCCGCCTTCCGCGGCGTCCCTGCAAGTGTTCTCGTTCCACGGAGCACCGTTCGCGCGCGCCCACTGCAGCACCTCCAGGTGGCCGCCAGCCGCAGCCCCGTCGCAAGTGTTCTCGTCCCACGGAGCGCTGTTCGCGCGCGCCCACTGCAACATCTCGAGGTGACCGCCACCCGCGGCACTGGCGCAAGTCCACTCGTCCCACGGACAGCCGTTCGCGCGCGCCCACTGGAGCACCTCCAGGTGGCCGCCTTTCGCGGCACAGACGCAAGTCATCTCGTCCCACGGACAGCCGTTCGCGCGCGCCCACTGGAGCACCTCCAGGTGGCCGCCGTCCGCGGCCCAAGAGCAAGTTCTCTCGTCCCACGGCCAGCCGTTCGCACGCGCCCACTGGAGCACCTCCAGGTGGCCGCCTTTCGCGGCACCGGCGCAAGTCCACTCGTCCCACGGAGCGCCGTTCGCGCGCGCCCACTGCAGCACCTCCAGGTGGCCGTCATTCGCGGCATAGGCGCAAGTGTTCTCGTCCCACGGACAGCCGTTCGCGCGCGCCCACTGCAGCACCTCCAGGTGGCCGCCAATCGCGGCAAGGGCGCAAGTCGTCTCGTCCCACGGGCAGCTGTTCGCGCGCGCCCACTGCAGCACCTCCAGGTGGCCGCCTTCCGCGGCGTCCCTGCAAGTGTTCTCGTTCCACGGAGCACCGTTCGCGCGCGCCCACTGCAGCACCTCCAGGTGGCCGCCAGCCGCAGCCCCGTCGCAAGTGTTCTCGTCCCACGGAGCGCTGTTCGCGCGCGCCCACTGCAACATCTCGAGGTGACCGCCACCCGCGGCACCGGCGCAAGTCCACTCGTCCCACGGACAGCCGTTCGCGCGCGCCCACTGGAGCACCTCCAGGTGGCCGCCTTTCGCGGCACAGACGCAAGTCATCTCGTCCCACGGACAGCCGTTCGCGCGCGCCCACTGGAGCACCTCCAGGTGGCCGCCGTCCGCGGCCCAAGAGCAAGTTCTCTCGTCCCACGGCCAGCCGTTCGCACGCGCCCACTGGAGCACCTCCAGGTGGCCGCCTTTCGCGGCACCGGCGCAAGTCCACTCGTCCCACGGAGCGCCGTTCGCGCGCGCCCACTGCAGCACCTCCAGGTGGCCGTCATTCGCGGCATAGGCGCAAGTGTTCTCGTCCCACGGACAGCCGTTCGCGCGCGCCCACTGCAGCACCTCCAGGTGGCCGCCAATCGCGGCAAGGGCGCAAGTCGTCTCGTCCCACGGGCAGCCGTTCGCGCGCGCCCACTGCAGCACCTCCAGGTGGCCGCCTTCCGCGGCGTCCCTGCAAGTGTTCTCGTTCCACGGAGCACCGTTCGCGCGCGCCCACTGCAGCACCTCCAGGTGGCCGCCAGCCGCAGCCCCGTCGCAAGTGTTCTCGTCCCACGGAGCGCTGTTCGCGCGCGCCCACTGCAACATCTCGAGGTGACCGCCACCCGCGGCACTGGCGCAAGTCCACTCGTCCCACGGACAGCCGTTCGCGCGCGCCCACTGCAGCACCTCCAGGTGGCCGCCAGCCGCAGCCCCGTCGCAAGTCCTCTCGTCCCACGGACAGCCGTTCGCGCGCGCCCACTGCAACATCTCGAGGTGACCGCCACCCGCGGCACTGGCGCAAGTGTTCTCGTCCCACGGAGCGCTGTTCGCGCGCGCCCACTGCAGCACCTCCAGGTGGCCGCCATCCGCGGCACAGTAGCAAGTCCACTCGTCCCACGGACAGCCGTTCGCGCGCGCCCACTGCAACATCTCGAGGTGGCCGCCAGCCGCAGCCCCGGTGCAAGTCCTCTCGTTCCACGGAGCTCCGTTCGCTCGCGCCCACTTGAGGACGTGCAGATGACCTTCACGGGCGGCATGATAGCACGTTGCGCTGCCATCTAGATCACCGCCCCAAGGATACCCGTGCTCACGCAGCCACTTGAGCAGCTCGAGATCGCCGACGTAAGCGGCATTGGCACAGAAGTAGCGGGACTTGTTGCCCTGCGAGGACGTCTCTGCGTCTGTTGTTCTTCTCGGCAACGGGTGCGACAGCGACGCGAGAAGCTCGTGCACGCGCTCTTTCGGCAAGTCCAGCACGCCGTCGTGGCGCATCAGATGCTTGTAGAATTCGCGCGCATCCAATCGTGTCGTGACGCCGGTGAAGTCGAACGCCGCGGGCAACGACGCGACTCGCGTGGACGCGTCGTGGAACACGCGGCAGACGCGCGCGAGGTTGCGGCGGTCGCGCGCGTTCGGCAGGAACGAGAAGACGAGACACGCGAGGCCGGGCTCGCCGAGGACGTCGTCGAGGCTGGTGGGGGCGCTCGGATCAGGACGAGACGCGCGGCGGAGCGCAGATCTCGCGTTCATGACGCGCGGGGTGGGACGGCGCGCGCGGCGAGGAGTGCGCGCGCGTCGACGACGGAGCGCCCCTCTTCTTTCAGTTTGAACTGTCATCAAAATCTCCCTCCCGCCTTCTTTCGCGTTCGCGACCGCACTCCACGCCTCGCGCGACATGCCGAGCGCGCTCCTCACCGCGCGCGCTCTCACCGCCGCGGCGGCGATCGCGTCAGCATGCGCGCTCACGCGCGTCACCGGCGTCGACGACTTCACCGGCGCGACCGCGCGCTCGACGACCGCGCGCGGCGACTCGACGACGACCACCACGCTCTGCACCTTCGAAGCGCGGCTCCCGAGCGACTGCGCGTGCGCGGCCGCGCTACGCCCGCCGTCTCCGCGCGCGGGCGGCGGGATCCTCTTCCCGTCGTTATCCCCGGGCGTGAACGCGTTCTACTGCTCGGACGCGCTCCTCCGCGACGACGACGACGACGACGACGACGACGACGACGCGAACGGGGACGCGCTCGCGCTCGCACAGCTGTCCGTGCTCGTGGAGTGCGAAAAAGGCTGCGCGGCGACGACGCCGCCGCTGAGCCTCGCGGCCGTGACGCCGCCGCCGACGCACGCGCGCGGCGGTCTTCATCGCCATCACCTCGGCTCCCTCAAGGTCGAGCGCCGACGGAGGACGACGCTCGCGACGTACGCGTCGACGGCGGCGGCGGAGCGAAAAGACGCCGCGCCGCTCGCGACCTCGCCGCCGCCGCCGCCGCCGACGACGACGACGACGACGACGACGACGACGCGCGCGTCGCTCGCCTCGAACGCGGTGAAAGCGTTGGCGGCGGTCGTCATCCTCGTCGTCCTCCCCGCGCGGAGAGATCTCCTCGAGCTCGTCGTGCACGTGTACGAGCCGGCGCTGCGGCTCGCCCGCGAAGTCGCCCTCGTCGTCGTCGGCGCCGTCGCCCTCGTCGCGCTGGCGGCGGAAACGGCGCTCAAGACGTGCTACCACTACTGCCGCGGCAGCCACTACTGCCGCAGGAAGCTGTCGCCGTCGTAGGAAACGACGACGACGACGACGTGAGCGAGTGATGAGAAGGGTCGACGTGTACATCGCATGAAACGTACGCTACTACGGTATGGGTCTAACCTTCATCGTTTCATCTCGCGAAGTCGCCGCGACTCCGCGGCGCGGACGTGCAGCGCTCGAACGCGTCGAAACTCGCCCATGAGCTCTCCCGCCCTCGCGTCCAGCCCCCCGTACAGCCCCCCGCCGCCTCCTTCGCCGCCGCGCGCGACCGCGGGGACCGCGTCGAGCCTCCCCTTCAACGTCCGAAACGCGCCGCTCTGCGGAAGCACCATCAACAGCGCGTACAAACACTTCGCCGCGCCCGGGTGCGCGCGCGGGGTCAACAACCGCATTCGAAGCCGCGCGAACACGGGGGACTCGATCAACTTGACGAGTTGATCGATCTGCACGAGCGCGCGCAGCGTGATCTCGGACTCGTGATCGCACAGCGACGTCACCACCGCCGCCGCGTGCGCGTCCGCGACACACAGCAGGCACAGCGCGACGGTCGCGACGGCGCCGTGGCACCAGCACGGATACAACGCGGCGAACAGCGCTTTCGCCGCGTCGTCGCCGTCGTCGCCGCCGAGCGTCGCGCGCATCTTCGCGCACTCCGGGGACGTGAGCAAGATGACGTTCAACGCCTCGGTCATCGCCGCCGCGAACGCGAGCGCGGACGGCTCCCCGGTGGACGCCGCGGCGACGACGACGGAGGACGTCTTCGTGAAGACTCTCTCCGCGCCGAGCTCGGCGCACAGCCTTCGGATCACCGTCGCGCCTCTCCGCGTGAGCAAATCGTCTCCCTCCTCGCGCCTCTCGCTACCCTCGGGTCCCGCGACGCCCTCGCCCTCGCCCCCGCCCTCGCCCTCGCCCTCGCCCTCGCCCTCGCGTCCCTCCGCGCGCGATCGCGACGCTCTGTCCGCGGCGAAGCGTCGCACGAGCGCGGTCACGACGCGATCGAAATCTTTCCCGTCGCCGCCGCCGACGCCGGCGACAACCTCCGTCGCGCCTCGCACGACGTCGTCGTCCTCGTGCGACAGCGACGCGAGCAGCGTCTCCAGCGTCGCGTCGCCGCCGTCGTCGCCGTCGCCGTCGCCGTCGCCGTCGTCTCTCTCCACGATCATCCCGCGGAACACCCCGGGGGACGTGCGGAGCAGCGTGCGGTACCACCGCAGGGCTTCCAGTCTCGTGCGCACGCCCGCGCCCGCGCCGACGGCGCCGAGCAACGCGCGAGAGACGCCCTTCACGTTCAAACGCGCGCCGGCGCTCGCTTCGGGGGCGAGCTTCAGCGCGGCCACGGTCGCTGTCAACAGCGCGCTGGAAGTCTCGACGGCGAGCTCGCGGACGCGCGGTTCCGCGTGCGAGCAGCAGGGCGTCACCGCGGAGAGGACGTCCTCGAAGTGCGGGATCAGTCCGCCGCCGCCGCCGGTGCGCGCGCCGCCGCCGCCGCCGCCGCCGCCGCCGCCGCCTTCGCTCCCCGGCCCGACGCCGCCGGTCAAGTGCACGAGCTCTCTCAGCCACGTCAGCGCGGTCGTCCGCGTGTGCTCGTCCGCGCTCTTCGTGCGCCGAGTCAACGTTCGCACGAGCGCGCCGACGTCCGCGCCTCTCGCCCATCGATCCCCGCCCGCGCGCGCCTCCAGTAAAAACTCGCTCAGCGCGGCATCCGCGCGCGTGCGAATCTCTCGGTTCGGATCGGATAACATCTTCAGCAGACCGTCTAAGAACATCGGCACGTGCGCGAGGACGTCGATGTCCGGGACGCTGTCCAGGGTGGTTATCCATCCGATCAGGAACGTCCGCACGTGCGGGTTCACGCTTCCGATTCGCTCGACGATGAGCGGCGCGAAATCGCGCAAGTCAAACTCCCCGCTCTCGGCGACGATGTCCTTCAGGAGGCGGTCCAACAGACTCGCCGCGTTTTGCACGTTCGCGTCGGCGTCCGCGCTGAGCTTACACAGCTCCGTGAACACGGGGTTCAAGTAACGCAAGAACCGCTCGCGCGTCGCCTTCGCGATGTTATAGAGCGCCTCGCAGGCGTAATATCTCACGCGGTCGTCGAAATCCGTGAGCGCGGTCAACACCGGCGGCACGATCGCGTCGAGCGCGCGCTTGGAGGACGCCGCGTCCGAGGCCGAGGCGAGCCCCACGGTCATCGCGGCGAGGCCGATGAGCCCGCCCTTGCGGTGGTTCGCTGAGGCTGACTTGGCGTACTTGTTCACGAGCAGGCGAACGAGCGCGTCGAGTCGCGACGGGTCGTTCGCCTCGACGATGAGCCTCGTGCGCTGCTCCACCTCCAGCGCCGCGTGCTTCCGCTTCTCGTAGAGTTTGTCCGAGAGGTTCCTGAGCGCGCTCTGGGGACGCGGGGATGGGAGGAGAAGCGCGGGGAGGGATGGATGGATGGACGACGCGCGTGAGATGACGACGACGACGACGCGACGGGACGAATGCTGAATCGGCGTCGAATGATGAATTGGCCTCGGAGGTGCCGTGTCTGCGTGATGCGAGGACGGCGACGCGCCTGGGACAGCTCCGCGGCCATGGCGCTCTACCGCCGCCGCCGCGAGGGCGGCGGTCGCGCGCTCGCGGCTCGGCGAGCCCGCGCTTCGCGCGCGTTTGCGTGGGGACGCGCGCGCCGAGCGAGTAGTGTGAGCAGTGACGACGACCAGACGCGCGCTCGTCGTTTCGCGCGTCTCGTCTCGGAAGCGACCGAAAAATTTAATGCCCATTTCGGACGGAATCTCAGCGGAATCTCGGAGCGCCCTCTCGCACACGCGAACCGCGCACGATGCCCGCGTACGCCAGGAAACACACGCAGACGCTGCTCCGCGAGAGCCCATTCTTCGAGTACCCCGACGAGGAGGTCCGTCGTCTCGCCCCCGTTCCGCCGCGTCCGTCGCGACGGGCGACGCGTCGTCTCGCTCTCGTTTCGACGCGAACAAATAAACGCAGCGGCACGCCCGACAATTCCGACACTCTCTTCCGATCGCTTCGCTTCGCTTCCTCCGACTAACCGCCCCACCCCTCGGGGCCCCCCGTCCACCCCAACGCAGCCCGAGGAGTGCGACGACGTCGAGGAGGACGCCCCGTGCGCGGACCAAGCCTCCGCGGCGAAGCAGTGGCGCGCGAACGTCCACCCCGGCCCTCTGCTCGTCGCGAAGCATCGGAAACCGGACGGGGGCTACTTTGGGGATTCGTCGCCGTTCTACCACGCCGTCCTGCAGCCGACGACCGTGGACGACCTCGTGCCGTTCGACGGGCGGACGCTGAACCCCGGCGGCGCGGGCGCACACGCGAGGGACGAGGAGAAGAAGGACGCGGGCGTCAACTACCCGTGGCTGACGGCGTACGAGAGACGCGCGCGGGGGATCGACGTCGACGCGGCGGATGGCGAGCTCCTCGAAAAGTTTCGCGGGTGTCGGAAAGACGACGGCGGCGGGTTCTGGCAGCTTGAGACCGGGATGGAGAAGATCACCGCGGTGAAGCAGTGATGTGGCGTGCGTGCGTGTGGGGGGTGGGGGCGTGCTCGTGGGGAGGGTGGCGTGAGCTGAAGACCCGGCGGGGCACGTTGTATTCTACGTGTAACAACATACAAATGCTCTCTGCTGCACTCAACAGAACAAACCCGCCAGCGCGGCCGGTCGTCGTGTCGGCGCGCGATCGCTCACTCTCTCCCTATCCGCGCGCGATCGCGCACTCTCTCGAGCGCACGACATGACGACCATCGCGCGCTCCCCCACCGTTCTCGCGTCTTCCGCGACGCGCGCGGCCGCGCCGGCGAAGCCGCGCGCGGCGGCGCGCGCGGCGGCGCGCGCGCCCGCGCCGCCGTCGCGCGTCGCGTTCCACAGCCTCGCGTCGAGCGCCCGCGGTAAATCTTCTTCGCTCGCGATCGCGCGCGCGGAGGGCGAGGACGCGTCCTCCGCGGCGCCCCCCGCGCCCCCCGCGAACGACGACGCCGCGAAGATCGAAGCCGCGGTCGCGGAGATCAAAGACTACCTCAAGCTCCTGTACGTCAAGCGCGAGATGAACTTCAACGAGGTGCGACTCACGCTCGCGATCGAGGACCCGCGACTCGTGGATCGCCGCGAGCGATACGGCATCGAGGACGAGTCCGGCGTCAGCGCGGACGAGAAAGTCGCCGCGCTCGAGGCGATCGACGCGGGGGAGATGCCCGCGGACGTGCTCGTCGTGGAGAAGCTCCTGGACGAGTTCAGGGCGTGGCCGGGGTTGGAGGACGACGCGACGGCGGCGGCGCGGCGACAGGGGGGCGCGTCGCGATACGCCGCCATCGCGAACCAAGCCGCGGGGCTCCGAGGCGACGCCGCGAACATCGGCATCGCGAAGGAAGGCGACGGGGACGAAGAGGAGGAGATGGACGGGAACCCGTTCGGGTTTTTGGTCCTGTACGGCGTCTCCGCGGTGCCGATATTCATCACGATCGCGGCGCTGAGCATCATGTTCGTCAACTCGTTGCAATAAAACACACGACCGACGACGAACGCGCAAACGAAAGACGGTCGAGAGACGAACGACGGTCCCGTCGCGGTCGCGGCGTCCATCTCTGCGGTGTCCATCTCTACGGACGCACGACATCGCTACGCTAGACGTCGTGCGGTGACCTCCTACCCCAATCCCCCCCCCGCGCGCGCGTTCACACGTTCAGCCGTTTCCCGGCGACGCCGCCGCGTCGAAGCCGTCTGACGCCGCGGCGGCGGAACGTCGTCGTCGCCCCGCAGAACGCCGCGAGCGCGCCGCCCCACATCACGACGCTCAGCGCCCACATCACGCCGACGCCGGCGCCGTCGCGGCCGCTGTTCACGCCCCGCGCCGCCGCCGCGCGCTCGACGGCGGCGTCCGAGGCGAGAGAGGTCGTCGGCGGCGGGGAGAGCGACGGCGACGCTTGCGGCTCGATCGGCGGCGGCGGGGAGAGCGACGGCGACGCTCGCGGCTCGATCGGCGGCGACGGCGACGACGCGGCGACGTCGTCGACGTCCCCCTCCTTCTCCTCCGCGCCGCCGCTTTTCGCGTCGTCCCCGCGATCGACGACGTCCAGCCCCAGCGTCTCCACCCCCTCCGGCCACGGCTCCCCGCACCTGCGCAGCCGCGCGGCGTGCACCCCCCGATTCAGCGCCAACATCAGCTCCTGGACGAGCGCGCGGCGTCGCGTCTCCGCGGCGCGAGAGCCGAGGGAGTACGTCGCCGCCGCGTCGTCGCCCGCGCCGTCTTCGTCCGCGAGTAAATCTTTCGGGACGGTCGGGAACGGCGTGAACGGCTTCTCGCAGTCGAGCTTATCGTGCTCGCCGTTCGAGGTGACGCTCGACATCTCCACGTGCTTGTCCCAACTCCAGTCCTCGACGTCTATTCTGATGCCGTAGTGCAAGAGAAACGGATCGAACGAGTCCGCGTCCCACGGCGCCATCCCGGCGTACAGCTGGCACGAGTGCTCGACGTTGTGCTCCAGACCCGCCATCGCGGTCCCGAACACGTACCCGTACATCTCGCATATCCACGGCCGAGGCGACTGCTTCGTGATGTACACGTCCCCAGTGCCCTTAAACGGCCAGTGCGCGCGAGGGTCCTGTCGCACCCTCTTCGTGTATTCGAACCACAGCGGCGCCGCCTTCAGAAGGTCGCTCCTCCAGAAGATCTCCCACCCGCCCGCCTTGGCGAGCCGCGGTTTCACGTCCGCGGGCACGAACATGTCCGCCATCTCGTTGTCCACGCCCTGTAAGTACCCGTAGTACCCCGCGGCGACGAGCCCTTCTCTCGCCTCCAAGCCGTCCAACACGCTGAGGGTCGTTGCCCATACGAAGCGAACGTCGGGGTGGAGTTCAAAGGCTTCAGAAGCGGAGTTGAAAGGCGCCGAGGTGTGTCGGGATTGAAAGCGGGGGTTGATGGGCGGAGAGATGCGCCGCGAGATAAAGTCCTTAAGGATCGGCGTTCACCACGCCGACGCGGTCGTACGGGGACCAGTGTGAATCAGAACGCGCCTGAGCGGCTTGCGGAGGATCATGTCCGCGTCGAGCTTCACGACCCACCGCTTGTCCGTGGTGTTGTGCTCGCACCAGTGCAGGATGCTCCCCGGCATGTTGTACGCGCTGTACGCGTCGTTCGGGTCCACGTTCGTGTACAGCGGCGCCCTGTGCGTCGGCACGGAGTCGACGTACGGGTACGCGTCGTGGTCGTCGCAGCCGAGGAGTCGCGTGATCGCGCCGGGGGACCCCGCGGCGACCCAGGAGTAGTACACCGCGACGGACTGCCACTCCATGTACGGCTTGCAGTCCGCGCTGAAGATGTAGTGGTAGTCGTCCACCTCTCTCTTTCCAATCACGTCGTCGTCGTACGCGCGCGCGTCGAAGGCGGCGGGCGCCGTGCCGTCGTCGGTCGTCAGCGGGCGCGCGGCGTTCATCGCGTCTCGCGTCGCCGGCGCCTTCTCCTCCGCGGACGCGACGACGCACAGGGAAGACGCGAGGAGGAACAAGGCGAGACGCGCGGCGAGGCGAGGACATCGCGACGTCGCGCGCATCCTTCGCCGACCGCCCGTGCGGGGGGCGCGGAAGGCGTCTGACGATGAAGCGACCGCGAGCGTGATTATTGTGTTTTGGTTTTCGCGCGACTTATTTGTACTCGTCGAGTCGCGGAGACGCTGAGCCGCCGTTACACCGTCGTCCGTCGTAAAAATTCGATCCACTCGCCTCCCGGTCGTCGTCGTCGTGCGTGCACTTCACGTCGATCGAATCAAAACCCGCTGTCCGGCCCCAACACCCCGGTCATCTTCGCGTACATGATCAACTGGTCCTTCACGCCGGCGCCCGTGCGCGCCTCGATCAACACGGCGGCGAAAAAACCAACCATCGCCCACCGCGCGTTGTTCAGCTCCACCTTCTTCAGGTACGCCATGTTAACCGCCTCGGTCTCTTTCGGCGTCATCGTATCGTCGCTCTCGTCGATCGTCGCCATGGAGGGGTCGATCTGGTCCCCCGCGGCGGCGAGCGTCGCGGAGAACTCCGTCGCGAGATGCGCCCCCTCGTCCGCCGCGTCCTTCCCCGCGCGCTCCGCCTCCGCGCGCGCGCGCTCGGTGGACGCGTCTAATCCGAAGAACCGCTGGTACCGCCGCCGCTGCTTATCGCTCACCTCGTTCGCCGCGAACTGCTTGAACGTGACGAAGCACCCGGTGAAGGAGCTCCCGAGGAGGAACGCGATGAAAAATTGAAACAGAAACTCGTTCGGGACGCCCTCCTGCACGAGCCCGAGCTGCGCGAGGATGCCGTCCCCGGTCAACAGCTCTTGGATGCACCCGGTCGCGAAGCCGCCCATCGCGGTTCTTCCGATGAACAGCTCCGCGAACGGGGTGAACCCGGCGATGCCCTCGCTCGTGTCGAAGCCAGCCTTGCGCGCGATGACGTACGGGAATCCCCGGAAATCGATGCCGCTGCCGCCGTCCGCGCGGACGTCGAGACCCCCGGCGCGGCGCGCGCGGGGGCGCGTCGCGGACGTGGACGCGGGCGCGAGCGCGCGGGTCGTGGGCCCGGAGACGCGCGCGCGCGAGCTCAGCGCGAGCGCCTTCGTCGCGCGTGCGGAGGCGACGGAGGCCATCGTGTCGTGGTGCGGCGCTTCGGCGGAAGCCCGGGGAGGGAAGAAGAGATGGATAGATGCGGCGGAGAGCGCGCGCGGAGTGCGGACTGCGGCGACGACGACCCGGTCGACGCGCGAGAGAGAGACGGCGACGGTCTTGCGACTTGGACGCGAGAGCGGATGCGAGCGGCGAGGCGCTGCTTGCGTCGGCGTGCGGTCGCGAGTGACGCGCGGACGCGAGGCGCGCGCGTTAAACGACGGTTCGCGGACGAGAGGCGGCATCGACGTCATCGCATCCGAACGCTTCGACACCAGACTGGACACTCGCGTCTTCGAACCTCTCGTCGTTTCTGTTCTAACTCTACGTCGCGCTATCGTTCACCGCTCACCGTCCACCGTTCGTCGTCTCACGTCGTCTCGCGTCGTCGCGCGCCCCCCCCAGCCCCCACGCGCACCCTACTCCACCTCGAGCCGCCGCCGCGGCACGTACTCGCTCGCGTCCCCGCGCTCGCTGAAGAACGCCGCGCCGGCTTCGTCGCTCGCCTGCGTCTTCGCGTCCGACACCACGTGCCTCCCGAACCCGCCCACCTCGCGCGCCAACGCCTCGCGGTCGTCGAAGCGGTCGATGAGCCGCGACAGGCGCGTCCACTTGTGCCCGTGCATCATTTGCACGTACGTCTTCATCCCGGGGAGGACATCTTTCAGCATCGCCTTTCGCGTCGCCGCGGAGGTCCAATCGATTTCGCCGCCGCCGCCGTCGGGACCGCTCGCGCGCGGCAGGTCAAAGTGTCGAACCACGCACCGACCGAGCTTGGACGCCTCCACCGCTCGACGCGACGGCTCGTCGCCGTAGAGGATCCCGCGGTTGATCCCCGCGTACGCGCGCCAGTATTCCTCGGCGGAGAGGTCCACGGAAGGCGACGCGAGCGCGGCGTGGAACGCGTGGCGGCTCTCGGGGAGGTGCTCGAGCTCGAGGGGCGGCGACGCCGCGTCCTCCTCCTCCGAATCATGATGTTCCCCCTCCTCCTCATCCTCGCGCGTCGTACCCGTCGCGGGGGGGGTCCGAAGGTCGACAAAGGAAGCGTCCGCGAGGGCGTCCTCCTCCTCCTCCTCCACCTCCTCCACCTCCTCTACCTCCTCCTCCTCCTCGTCCTCNTACGCNTGCCCGCGGTCCGACGCCGCGTCCGGCGTCTCCGCGTCGGCGTCGTCGTCGTCGTCGTCGTCGTCGCGCGCGCCGCCGCCGCCGCCGCTCGTCTTCCCATCGTCCGCGTCCTCGCCACCCTCCTCCGCCTTTGCCGCGGGATCGACGACGCGCTCGACGCGTCGCCACGCGGACAGCATGCTTCGCGTCGCCGCGTCCGTCGCCGTGCGCTGCCCGGGGGAGTATCCGTTCGGGAGCCGCCGCGCGGCGAGTAAACACGCGCTCCACGCGCGGTGCGCGCGCACAGCCTCGAGCTTCGAGTCGCCCAAGATGATGAGGTGTCTCCTCGCGCGCGTCAGCGCGACGTTCACGCGCTCGTCCGTGAGGAACCCGTGAGGCGCGCACGCGCTGGACGCGCCGCCGCCGCAGAGGGATAAGATTACGACTTCCTTCTCCTGGCCCTGGAACGCGTCCACGGTGGCGACGTGCACCTCCGCGTCGTCGGGCTCCGTCTCGGGATCGGGCGCCGCGACCGCGTCGCAAACGCTGTCGGGGTTCGCGCACGCGCTCGGCCCGCCCGCGCGCCTCGCGCGGTCCAGCGCGCGACCGAGCTCCTGGCGTATGCGCGTCGACTGCGCCTTATACGTCGCGATCACGCCGACGTCCTCCGGGGACGTCCCGAGCGCGCCCGCGACCGTCGCGGCGATCGTCGCGGCGACGCGCGCTTCTTTCGGGGAGTACTTCGAATACGACCCGGGCTCCACGCGCTCGTCCCCGGACGTGACGTCGATCCACATCAGCGGCGGCAGCGTCGTGGCAGGCGCGTCGGCGATGTCGCGGTCGGTCGATTGACGCGTCTCGCCCTCGCCCGCGGCGACAGCGAGGACGCCCGCTCGCGCCGCCGCGTCGCACCCGTCGAGAAGCTTCCCGTCGTAGAAGAGCGCGTTAGGGATGGAGGAGAGCGCGGGGTGGAGCCGGTACTGCGTCCGCAGGAGCGTCGGGACGTGCCCCGCGGACGCGAGACGCGAGAAGAGCCCGACCGCGAGCGGGTTTCGCGTCGCGTCGTCGAGCGCGCCGCCGCCGCCGCCGCCGCCGCCGCGGTCCGAGTCCAGCGTCGGCGGGAGCTGCTTCGGGTCTCCCACGGCGACTAACGCTCTGCATCCGAACCGGGACATCGCCATGAGGCTCGACGGTTCCGTCATCTGCGAGCACTCGTCTAAGACGCACACGGAGAAGGTCATGCCGTTCATGACGGAGTTCCCGCACGACGCCGTCGTGACGCCGACGACGCGGCATTTTCTCAGGAACCCCGCTCGTCGGTCCGCGACGCCATCCTTCGCAGCCTGGAGCTCCTTCGATAAGAACGCCCTCTCCCTCGCGGTGGTGGCGTCTTTGATCATCGCGCGAAGCTCCGCGAGGTGCGCGGCGCCCTTCCCTCTGGAGTTTCCTCCCTCGTCCTCGCCGCCGCCGCCCGTCGCGCGCTTCTTCCCTTCCTTGCAGTGCAACGAGTGCGGCAGCACCGCGTGATCAATCTTCCGCAGCGATCCGACGCGCACGAACTCCGTGAACCCGCGCGAAATAAGCGTCGTCAAGACGCGGTCGACCGCGACGTTCGTGTGCGCGGAGATGAGTATCCGCGCGGGAGATTTCGCCGCGCGCAGACGCTCCGCGGCGCTGATGATGAACGACGCCAACGCGTGCGTTTTTCCGCTCCCGAACGGTCCGTGAATCAGACGCACGGGGGACACCGTCAACGCGTCGCGCGGGACGCGCCGACCCGCCTCGGCGGCGACGAGGAGCGCGCCCGCGACCGCGCCGGCTTGATCGTCGTTCAGACCGTGTCGCGCTTTCAGACCGGCCGCGTCCGCGAGGATCGCGTCCTGAGACGCCGCGTCGTCTACGAGTTTCGAGCCGAGCACGTGCGGCCACAGCGGGAACGTCTCCGGCGTCGCGATCGCTATGTTCTCGTGCTCCGCGATCGCTGTCGACGCGTTGAACGCGCGGATCGCGTACACGGGCTGCTTATCCCGCATCCCGTGCCGGGGTTTATCCCCCAGCAGCTTGATCTCCATCTTGCCGGTGTTATCTGGTCCGTGCCACGCCGCCTTCGCGACGATGGTCCACGGCGCTCGGTTCCGGTCCCCGGGGCCAACCTCGGATAAGACGGGGACGTGGAACGTCGGGGTGTTGCTCAGGACCCACACGTCGCATTTGGAGTATCCTTTACGTCGTTCGGACGGGTCGTTCAGGGTGAGCCACGTCTTGCTCTCCGTCGCCGGTTTCGGTTCGTCGTCGTCGTCGTCGTCGTCGTCGTCGCGGTTTTTGTTCTTTCCCCAGTTTTTCTTCCCTCCTCTACTCCAGTCCTTGAACGGTTTGTACGTGTCGAACCTCAACGAGCAGTCCGAGTAGTACTCCACGTCCGACCTGGAACTCCTGAGCTCGTGCGCGATCGCTTTCGCGGAGACGCTCGCGCCCGCGGCGCCGCGCGCGCGCGCGGCATCGCCGCCGCCGCACCGAGCCGCCGCCGCGTCGAGACCCTCCCGCGCCGCCGCCAACCTCGCCCTGAGGTCGTCTCGTATCGCCCCGCAAAAGTGCGCCTGATACGCGGTCGTCGTCGGAAACGCGCCGTTCGCGACCGTCGACGCGCCCGCGCGCGTGCGACTCGATCGATCGCGGCTCGGGAGGTCGAGCTTCAGCGCGAGGCCGTCTTCTGGTTTGACCCCGCCCGGTCCCAGCGCGACGTTCGCGACGCCGACGCGCGGCGCGTCCGCCCTCGGGCGCTGCGCCGGGGGGTTAAACGCGCGCAACGCCGCCGCTGGAGGAGGCACCGCCTTCGCGTCGTTCTCCCCGTCGCCGCCGGGGCCCCATCGCCGCATCACCGCGATGTCCGCGCTCGCGTCGTCGACGTCGCCCGCGCCCGCGTCGCTCCAGTCGCCCCGCGCCGCGCTCGGCGCCGCCGCCGCCGCCGCCGGCTGCGCCTTGATCCCCGCGGTCAGGCCGCTGAGACCGCCGCCGCCGCTCTTGATCAGCGCCGCGAGTCCACCGAGACCGTTGGAGCCGCCGGATCTGCCGCCGGCGCCGGCACCGGCGGCGGCGGCTGGCTCGGGAGGGTCGATCACGATGGGGTCGTCCCTCGGCGTCTCCGCCGCCGCCGCCGCCGCCGTCGTCGTCGCCGCGGAGGCGTCCGTATGGTCGTACGCCGCCCACTTGCTCTTTCTCTTCGCGAGCGGGACGACGTTCACCACTGGCGCGGTGGCGTCTTCATCCGCCGCCGTTGCTCTCCGCTTCGCCGCCCTGCGCGCGTCCTCCGGATTCTCTTCGAAGTGCTCCGCGTAGAGATCGTCGAAACCGCCGCCTCCGCCGCCGGCGACGCGTCCGGGCAACAGCTTCGGTATCAACGCCGCGAACTGCGCTTCGATCCTCGCGGCTTCCTCCGCGTCGATGAACTTCCTCCCCGGCGCCCCGGCCGCGTCCGTCTTCTGCGTCTTGCTCGCGCGCTCGGACGACGGCGACGGCGGCGACGGCTTCGGCGGCGCGCGCGGCGGCGGCTTGAACGGCGCCATCGCCGGCGGCCGGAACGCCGCGCCCGTGGGGGGCTTTCCCGCGGTCGCGTACCGCGCGCCGCCGCCGCCCCACGGTCGCTTCGCCGCGGCCGTCGCCTTCAGCGCCGTCGCGGACGTGGACGCGCCGGCGGCGGCGCTGCCGTCGCCGCTTCCGCTTCCGCTTCCGTCGTCGCCGCCGACTTCGTCGTCCGGCTGGACTTTGAACCCTTCGAAATCCGCGATGACGTCGCCGTCCTCGAGCGCGGCCATCTCCTTCTTCGTGAGCGGCCTTCGCCCTAAGGAATCCCCCATCGGTCTCGGTGGCTCGTCGTCCGCGTCCACGCGCCACAAACGCGCGATGTGCTTCCCGTCGTCCGTGGTCTCCACGTCCACGACGCCGTCCTCCCACGAGATCTTAAACTTTTTGTGAAGGTCCTTCGTGAACGTGCACCTCCATCGCCTCGGGAGACCCATCGTCGCTCGCGGCGGCGGCGACGTTCGTCCGCGGGGATGGTCAGCGACGGCGCGATACTCGCGCGGGGGTCATCGACGCGCGACGCGCGTGTCGTGTGTCGTCCGTCGCGGCGGCCCCGTCGCCAGATCTCGCGCGTCGTGAACTGACAGCTGCTCGCCGGGTTCAAACACGGCGAGACCGACGAAAATCTAGGACAGGACGACGACCAGAACGCCACGCGCCCGCGGCGGCGCGCGCCTCCACGATTTGATTTCGCCGTCGCCGCCGCTCGGTCCGGGGCGAGGCTCTCGCGATGGCGGTCGCGAGGCTCCAGAAAGAGCTCAAGCTCCTCGCGAAGGACCCGCTCCCGTCGATGCTCGCTCGCCCGCACCCGAATAACCTCTTGGAGTGGCACTACTGCCTCGAGGGCGCGTCTGATACGGCGTACGCCGGAGGGACGTACCACGGGAAGATCATCTTCCCCAAGGAGTACCCTTTCAAGCCGCCGTCGATCATGATGTGCACGCCTTCCGGGCGGTTTCAGCCGAACACGCGGCTGTGCTTGAGCATGTCTGACTTCCATCCGGAGTCGTGGAACCCGATGTGGAGCCTGTCGAGCATCATGAGCGGTCTGCAGTCGTTCATGGTGGAGTCGACGCCGACGCAAGGGAGCGTGAACACGACAAACGCGGAGAAGCGACAGCTCGCGGCGGCGTCGATGGCGCACAACGTCAAGAACGCGACGTTTCGGAAGCTGTATCCAGACGTGATCGAAGCGCACGCGGCGGCGGCGGCGGCGGCGCGAGAGGCGGCGGCGGCGGCGGCGGCGGCGAGTAGCGGGGGTGGCGGCGCCGCGCGCGGGGGGACGCCAACGCGGGTCGCGGGCGGGTGGACGACGTTGGAGATGGTCAAGCACGCGATCGTCGGCGTCGCGATCGCGTGGATGGTGTACAAGAACGTTCGACGACTGACGAGCGGCGAGGACGACGACGACGGTCTCGATGCAGTTTTATAGTTTTTACAAGCAAGGCAGGCGTCTGCCGTAGCGTGCATTTGTAGACTAGAGAGTATTTAACAGCGCGTGTAGCGTACAGTGCGGTCGTCGTCGTCGAATCGAATCGAATCGAATCGAATCGAATCGCGCCGAGGTTCCATCCCGTCTTCCCTAAGACTTCCCCAAGAGCTGCAGCATGTCTGCCGCGTCGGAGAGCTCCGTGGTGTCCGATTTCCCCGCGAGCCGCGCCGCCTTGGCCGTGCCCAACCCCCCCCGCGCGCCGACGCCCGCGCTCGCGCCCGGCCGCGCGCGTTTGCTCCTCGCGCCCTTCACCGCCCCCGGCGCTCGTTTACGCCCGCCGCCGCCCGCGGTCGTCGTCCGGTCCGACGCGTCGGACTCGTTCAACGACTTCGTGGACTTGCCTCCGCTGCCCGACTTGAGCCCAGACTCGCCGCCGCCGTCCGAGCGCGTGTCCCCGCTGTTCGTCGAGCACGGACCGCCGCCGTTCTGCTGCGTCATGCCTTGGGCGTACGCGTGCGGTGGGAGCGCGCCTTGCATTCCCATCATCATCTGCGACCACATCTGCGGCGTCGAAGGGAACGTGCTCATGCTCGCCATCATCGACGCCATCATCCGCGGATCGTTCATCATTCCCGGGAACGCCGACATCATCGCCGCGAACTGCGCCTGTCGCTGCTGCGCCTGCTGCTGCTGTTGTTGTTGCTGCTGCTGCTGCTGCTGATGCATGAACCCGCCCGGACCCGCGTTTGGGTATTGACCGCCCCAGCCCATGCCCGTCGCGTGGGCGTGCGCCGCCGCGGCTTGCGCTTGCGCGTGGAAACGCTGCGCCGCCGCCGCGTGATGGTGTTCCTGACCTTGCCGCGCGGGACCCGGCGCGTCCTGTCCCGCGTGTTGGCCCCCTTGCGTCATGGAGTGACGCTGCTGCTGCTGCATCGCCGCCTGCTGCGCGGCCATCATCTGGTGGTACTGCGCTTGCTGGTGCTGGTAGACGGCCCACTGCTGCTGCTGATACCTCTGCTGCGGCGTCGCCTGCTGGTGCTGTCGCTGATGCTGTTCGCCGCCGACGCTCGCGGGCGCGAGCGTAACCTGCCCCGCCGCGCCCGTCGCGGGTCCCGCGCGCGTCGTCGCGTCTTCCGGGTACAATACCAGCCGCGGCGGGCGTTGAAACGACCCCGGCGTCGTCGTCGTCGTCGTCGTCGCCGCGGTGTCCTGGGAGCTCAGACTCCGCATCATCTCGTGGTGCGGGAACGCCGCCATCGCCGTCGGCGGGAACGGCGCGGGAGGGACGACCACGCGCGGCGCGAGCGGCGCGAGCGGGACGACGCGGTGACGGTCGCGGTCGCGGTCGCGATCGGTTCTCCCGCTCGCGCCCGCGTCCGCGCCCGCCGCGACCAGCCCGCGCACGTCCATCGTCGTCGTGCACGCCTCGTTCTCTTCATTCGCCGCCCTCGTCTCGGTCCCGCGTCGCTCCACGGCGCGGTCGATCGCGACCTTGACGTCCGCGAACTTTTTCCACGCCTCCGCCGGGTTCGCGGACGCCAACGCCGCGGCCGCGTTCTCTCCGCTCCACATCGGAAACGCGTCGACGCCGGCTGGCGCGTCCATCGTCGCCGGTCCCGTCCGCTCCGCGTCCGCGTCCACGCCTCCGGCGAACGTGCCGCTGTTCTGGCGCCACCGCGTCGGGAGCAGCGGTGCTTCGTCGCACGTCAGCGCCGCCGCCGCGATGGCGGCGTCGGGCGCGTCTTCCTCCTTCGCCGTCGCGGCGGCGGCGGCGGCGGGCGCGACTGGCGCGATCTTTTCATCCTCGACGTCCTCGCGCGTCGCCGCCTCAGCCGCGCCGAGCGCTTCCGCCGCGGGCGCGGTCGTCGTCGTCGGCGCCGGCACCGGCGCGGACGTCGTCGGCGGCGCGGACGGGGACGGGTCCTGTCGCGAGAGCGGGAGCGAGGAGGAGGGTGACGCGGCGGCGTCAGTCTGTCGAATGGAAATGGAATATCTCGTCGAAGACGGCGGTCGAGGCGCGACGCAGATATTTCGCGCGCGTGCCACGAGGGCAGCGCTTCGACGAAAGGCGAGCGCGTTCGCGCGCGCCGGGAACGCGCGGAGGCGTCCCGCGACCGGCGTCGCCGAGCGATTCCACGCCGCGGAGCGTTCCCGCGGCGCGTCCGCGGCGCGACCGAGTCGTCGTCCGGGCGCGCGACGTCGCGTGCGCCCCGACGCGCGCGTCGATTCGCGGTGGCGACGACGCGCGAAAAGTGGCAGACGCGGAAGAAAAGCGCACCTCGCGCGCGGACGCGGAAACGCGCGCGGTCGCGGTCGCGGGCGCGTCGCGCGCCTCGACGGCTTCCTCGGGCGCGTTCGGCGCGTCCTCGAGATCGTTCTTCGCGCTCGAGTTCCGCGTCGATCGCATCGACGCCGCGGGTTCCGAGCCGCGATGGCGCGTCGCGCGCGCCGTCGACTCGGACGCCGTCGACGATTTCCCCGCAGGCGCCCTCGCCGCCGCGCGACGCGACGTCGTCGCCGGCATCGCGCGACTGCGATCGGTCGCGCGCGTCGATCGGTCTCTGCGCGTCGCTAGGCGCGCGTTTCGGCGTGTGAAAGCGCGTGCGACGTCTCGGAGGCGTGCGCTGCGCGTGTGATGCGGCGTCGCTTCGACTTGGGATATTTGGGCAAAAAGAGAAAAGGTAGCGCTGGGGCCTGAGCTGGGGCGGGCTCGGCGAATCACGTCGCGCGGTTCGGCCAGGTTCCGCGGGAAATTTTTTTCGCCGGTCAACGCGCGACACAGCGCATTTAGTCAGAGTCGCGTACGTGTACCGCGTACGCGTCCGCGCGCGCGATCGCCCCGATTCCCTCTCCGGCGCCTTGGCCGCGGCCGGTCAGATCCCCCCGCCCGCAACGGTCAACGACGCGATGGCCGGCTCCCCAGGGCGCGCCCCCCAGGGCCGCGGGCGTCCGGGCGACGGCGCGAGCGCGTCCGCGGCGTCGCGGTCGAGCGCGGACGGCGGCGCGGTCGTCGCGTCGGCGTCGCCGCCGCCGCCCGGGGGCGCGCTCGACGCGGTGCACGCGCTGCGGTCGATGGCTTCGGAATGCGCGCTCGACGGCGTCTCCGGCGCGCTCGCGGCCGCGGCCGCGCGGCTGCGCGTGACGCTCACGCGCGAGGACGGCGTGGACGGGCACGAGGTCTTGGACTGCATGGTCACCGCGCTGGACGAGATGCGCCGCGTCGCGGAGTCGGCGTCGACGTCGTCCCCGCTCGCCGGCGCGCCCGAACGCGCGGCGCTGCGAGACCACGCGCGCGCGCTGGACGCGAGCGAGCGCGAGCGCGACAAGTACAGGGCGATGCTTCTCGACGCCGAGCGAGACGCGGAGTCCCTTCTCGCGATGAACGCGGCGCTCAAGTCCGAGCTCGAGATGCAGGCGGCGATGCACGCCACGGACGTCGCGTACGAGCACAAGGGCGGCGACCTCATGGCCCGCGAGCTCGAGGCGACGCGCGCGCAGCTCGCCGTCGTCAGCGAGGGGTTCCAGCTGTTGAAGAACGAGCGGCACGAGGCGACGACGGTGCTGAGAGCGCAGGCGACCGTGCGCGCGGCCCTGGACGAGGAGCGCGCCGCCGTCGCGAGGATGCGGCGGTCGCTGAGCGAGAAGCGAGGATCCGCCAGAGGATCCGGAGACGCCGGAGACGCCGGCGCCGGCGGCGCGTCGTCCTCCTCCTCCTCCGACGACGTCGCGGCGCTGCGCGCGGCGCTCTCCGCGTCCGACGAGCGCGTCGAGGCGCTGCGTCTAGATTTACAGAACGCGCGCGAGTCCGAGGCGAGCGCGATCGAGAAGCTCAACGCGGCGAGGGACTTCGCGGCTGTCGGCGACGACGCGCTCGCGGCCGCGTACAACGCGGAACTCGAGGCGGCGACGTCGCGAGCGATCGCCGCGGAAGAGGGGCTGGAGCAGACGCGCGCGAGGGCGGCCGCGCTCGAAGAGGAGGTCGCGGACGCGCGGCGGGAGAAGGAAGCCGCGCTTCGACGCGCGGTCGAGACCGCGGAGGAGATGCGAGAGGTGAGGGACGCGGCGGCGGCGGCGGAGCGGGGATGGAAAAAACCGACGACGAACGCCGCGAAGGCGTCGCCGTACAAAGTGCCCACGAAGTCGCCCGCGAAGAAGCGCGACGTCGACGACGCGAAACCCGACGACGTCGGCGACTTGCGAGTCGAGCTCGAGCTCCTGCACGAGTGGAAGCACGCCGCGGAAGGGGAGATGTCAGCGTTGCGCGCGCAGTTGAGGAACGCGCGCGACGCGAACGCGCGGCTCGAACGCACGGTGATGCACGCGGAGCGCGACGCGGTACACGCGGAGAACGCCGCGCTGGCGCTTCGGCGGCGGCGCTCGGAGTTCGCGCCGTCGATCTCGCCGATGGAGAGCGATTCGACGCACCTCCCGAGCATCGGCGAGGAGGGGGAGTACCTCGAAGACGCGACGACCGCGGAGGCGGAGGACGAAGACCCGGGGGCGTTGCCTTGGACGGACGATACCGGCGCCGCCGCGATCGACTCCACGTCCGCGGGGATGATGCGCGAGATGTGGGCGGAGCTGCAGCACATCCGCGGGTGCTACAAGTCGCTGCATAACAAGTACGCGCGGCAGTCGCAGCGGTTCGTGAGGTTAGAGGAACGCCTTCGCGTCGTCGGCGGCGGCGGCGGGGGGGGACACGACGACGGCGACGACGACGGCAACGCGCTCGCGGGCCCGACGGACAGCGCGCGGTCGTCCGTGATCATGGGCGAGCTCTCCGACGGCGAGATGGACGTCGGCGAGATGGATGACGGCGACGCGCGGTGGATCCCCGGGACGCCGAGCGCGAGGGCGGTCGCCGCCGCCGCCGCCGCGGTCGCCGCGGGGATTCATCACCGCCCCGCGTCGGGGGAACATCACGACGTCACGGAAGTCGACGAGGGGATGGACGGCGAGGATGAAGTTCTCGCGGAGTACGTCTCCACGACGCCGCCGCGCGCGCCGCGAGGGCACCGCGCGACGCAAGAGGCGCTGACGATCGCGAGGCAGACGTCGTCTCATCGACCGGACTCGGCGCCGCCGAGCGAACGACGGTTCACGAACTCGATGCGACGACGCGGCGAGCGCGCGGCGCCCGCGAAGGCGGTCGTCCGCGCCGCGAGCAGCTCGATGCACCGCCCGGGGAGCGCGCCGAGCAGCCAAGACCGCATGACGAACAGCAGTCTGCGACGAGGGGAGCCGCCCGCGAGCGCGGCGGCGAGGGCCGCGGCGGCGGCGGCGGGCGCCGCGCGTCCGGGATCCGCGACGCCGTCGAACCTCCGCGTCTCTCACGCAGCCTCGAGCACCGCGCCGCGGCCTCCCCCGAGCGCGCTCTCCGCCGCGGCCGCCGCGAGCGCGAGCCGCCCGCAGACGGGGCCGTCGTCGCAGCAGCGAAGGACGCGGCGGCCTCAGACGGCGGCGCCTTCGACGTCCGCCGCCGCCGCCGCCGCCGCCGCCGCCGCCGCGGGCGCGCGGCCGCTCACCGCGAGCGGCGGCGCGCGCCCGTCCGCGCGACGCCCCGCGTCCGCGGACCCGTCGTCCCCGGACCGCCGGACCTCCCAGAGCGTCGTCACGTATCCGCCGAACGCGTCGGCGACGAAGTCGATCCGCGTCGGGGACGACGACGACGACGGCGATGGCGACGACGGAGACGGCGGCGCGTTCGAGGCGGACGCGTTCGATCACGACGCCGAGAGAGCGATCGCGGCGCACCGTTCGCAGTCGTACGTGTCGCCTTCGAAGGACATCATCCCTGGCGCGTCCCCGGGTCGGCCCGCGGTCAGTGCACGCCGGCCGGCGACGTCCCCGGGGCGCGTCGACGGACAAAGGTCATCGCCCGCGAAGCGCGGCCCCGGGTCCGGCTCCGGCTCCGCCGCGGCGTCGTCGGAGAGACCGGCGTTCCGCCCGGGCGGCGTCGCGCGCGCGAGGCCAGCGACCGCGGCGGCCGCGATGCTCGCGTCCGAGGTTGGGTTCATCGCGGACGATGAGATGACGTGGCGCGCGCGAGCGCAAGGAGGAGGGAAGACGCGGTCGCCGGCGCGGTCGAAACCGCCGCCGCCGCCGCCGCTGACGACGCCTCGGTCGCCCGCGTTCGCGCCGCGGCCCGCGTGCTGCAACCGCGCGAGCTGCGCGTGTGGGCTTCTCTCCGCGGACGCGGCGACGCGAAGACGGGCGAAGCAGGCGAGGCGATAGCGAGACCGTCGTAGACTTGAAGAGAGACACAAACAGACAACTTAAACTTTGAACCCATCGCGATCTGCGATCTTGCGCACTGCGTCCGAGTCATCGCACTGGCACTGATGAGAATCAATGCGCCCCCGCTGGGCGATTCAACTGACGAGAATAATGGGACACGCGCGCTCTCGCGCTCCGCAGAACCATCGGCGGCGGACGGACGCGTAGGGGGAGTGTTCCGCGGGATCGGACGGGCGTGGAGGACGCGAATCGATCGCAGGAGCGCGAGCGCGCGTCACGCGGCGGCGGGGAGCGTCCGGGTCGCGTCCGAGCGAGATCCTGGAAATCGAATTCGCCGCGCAATTCCTCGGCGTCGATAATCGATCCTCGCGCCGACTCGGCCGACGCATGGTCGTCGACGCGGGATCCACGGGCATGGATCTCGTGATGTCGATCGGCGATGGCTACGGCGGCAAGTCGATCGATGAGTACCGCGACCGCGCGCGCGACGGCCTCCTGTCCGCGCCGACGCCGCCGCTCGCGCACGAGCTCGTCGGGCGTCGGTGCGTCAAGGAATTCGCGGATCACGGCGTCTTCGAGGGGATCGTCGAGTCCTTCGACCCAAGCTCCCCAGACGGTCAGGGTCCGCTCGGGTACAAGGTTCGGTACACCGACGGCGACTGCGAGCACCTGAGCCTGGAGGATCTGCGGAGCATCCTCGTCCCGAGCGACGGCGACGGCGGCGCGAGCGCGCGCGCGCGCGCGAAAAACATTCTCGCGGACCGCGATCGCGACGCGTCTCCTCGCGACCGCGCCGCGACGCGCCTCCTCGGCGAGTTCTCCCAGGCGCAGCTCCGGAGCTGGCCCGCGCGCGAGCTCAAACGGCGGTACTGCGACGTATTCGACGCGCCGGTCCCGCCGAGCGCGAACGAGAACGAGCGGTGGCTGCGCGCGAAACTCGCGCCGCACGCCTCCGACGAGGCGAGAGCGGGCGAGTTCGCGGACGCGGACGAGACGGACGACGACGACGACGAGGCCGGGGCCGGGGGGCGCCCCGGAGAGCGCGACGGCGCCGACGCCGCGATGGCGGCGGCGGGCGCGCTGCTGCTTAGGGACGACGACGTCCTCGCGCTGGATCTCGAGGCGTGGGATCGCGGCGGATCAGCCGGAGACGACGAGAAGGATAAGGAGGGAGGATCCAACGCGTCGCGGCGGAGCAGCGGGGAGACGTACCCGGGGCGCGAGGGCGACGACGAATACCTCGTCCTTCGCGGCGATCGTCCCGACGCGGCGCACGCGCGCGGCGGCGATCCGTCCGCTCGGGCCCGGGCCGGCGCCGCGAGCGGGACGGAGCGGTGGGCGTCGACGACCGCCGCCGCCGCCGCGGCGATCGCGGACGCGCTCGAGAAGAACGAGCGCGCGGTCGAGGCGCGGGCGAGAGGCAGAGCGCTCGCGTCCGCGGCGAGTAAGGCGGTCGTGCGCGCGAGGAAAGCGGCGGCGGCGGCGGCGGCGGTGCGGTCCGGCGAGACCGCGCCCGTGGACCCGCACTCCGTGCCGCAGACGATTTTGCGTCGTCTGTCTCTCAGCGGCGGGAAGTCGACGTCGAAACCAGAGAAGAAGCCCCCCGCCCGGATCGAGGTCCCCGAAGAGGACCTCGAGGCGGAGGGAGAGGAGGAGGACAGAAGCGAAGACACCGGCGACGGCGCGTTCGAGATTGGCGGACACGACGCGCACAAGAGGAAGGCGTCCCCGACTGGCGCGCTACCGGGTGGAAAAAAGCTCGCGAAGGAGCCGACGCCGACGCCGACGCCGACGCCGACGCCGACGCCGACGCCGCCTATGCCTCGACCGAAGATGGACGTGAAGAACAATCCGAAAGCGCGCGCGGTCGCGTCCATGTGGCGCGCCGCCGCGAAGCTCGACGCGTGCCACGTCTGCGGCGAGGAAGCCCCGGACCACTGGCGCGCCGACGACGAGATTCTGTTTTGCGACGGATGCGACGTGCAGGTGCACGTCTCGTGCTACGGCCTCGAAGGCGTCCCCGAGGGCGAGTGGCTGTGCGTCGGGTGCTCCGACGGCGTCGACGCGGGGAAGGTGTCGAAAGGCGAGTTTGGCGTCTGCGCGCTGTGCCCGCAGCCCGGCGGAGCGCTCGCGAGGGTGGACCCGCCGTCGGGATGGGACGTGTCGTGGGAGACGCCCGGGACGCACGCGCACATCGCGTGCGCGGAGTGCCTCCCGGAGGTTTTCGTCGTCAAGGACGCGCCGGGGAGGGAGCGCGGCGCGCCGCCTCTGATCGACATGTCGTTCGTGAAGGGCGCGCGAATGAACCTGCGGTGTTCGCTGTGCGACATCGAGGGCGCGTGCACGCAGTGCGCGATGAAGAAGTGTTTCGTGTCGTTCCACCCGCTGTGCGCGCGCGCGTCCGGGTTCAAGCGCGATCGGCACGTCAGCGACGGGCGGCCGGTGATATTCTGTAAGACGCACTCGCAGGATCGGTGGGAGGAGGGGCGGAGGGTCGCGGCGGGGAAGCCCGCGAAGCCCGCGAAGCCCGCGAAGCCCGCGGCGACGGCGACTGGCGACGAAATCGAACGCGTGGCGACCGCGACCGCGACCGTGACCGTCGGCGTCTACGCCCACCTCGCGGACGCGGACGCGCGACCGGACGACCTCCGCGGCGCGCCGGACAAGGATAAAGAACACGGCATCGAGCACGCGGGGGCGGAGACGGCGAAAGAGAAGCCGCCCGCGCCGCACGCGCGCGCCTCCGCCGCGGTGGCGCTCTGGGAGGGCTTCGCGCCGTTCATCGCGTCGACGCGCGATCGCGGGCGCCACGGGAAACTCACGCGCAAGATTCTCGCGTCCGTCGGGGTGTCGGACAAAGAGACCGCGCGCCTCGTCGCCCTGGACGCGAGCTCCGGCGAGGCGGAGACGCGGCGCGCGGCGACCGCCGCGCGGAGAACGATGGACGTCGCGTCGAGGACGCAGGACGCGAGGGACCACGACGCGAGCGCGCCGTGGTCGGCGCTGCGACCGCATCAGCGCGACGGCGCGACGCGCTTGACGGCGTCGCACCTCGCCGGTCTGGGGAGCATCGTGTGCGATCGCGTGGGCGCGGGGAAGCGGCTCACGATCTTGTCGCACGTGCTTCACCTCAGGGACGTCGTCGGCGTCCGAGGGCCGCACCTCGTGGTGTGCGAGGAGAAGGCGACGGCGGCGTGGATCTCGGAGCTGAACCGATTTTGTCCGAAGCTCAGAGCGGTGACGCTGCGCGACGCCGCGGAGGAGCGGAACCCCGCGAAAGCGGCGATCCTTCGCAGCGGGAACGTCGACCTCGTCGTCGTCCCGCGCGGGATGATGATCGACGCCGCGAAGGAGGCGGCGGAGGCGGCGGCGGCGGCGGCGGAGGAGGCGGCGGCGAGGGCCGCCGCGGGCGAGCCCGAGACGCCCGTCGAGCCCGTCGCGGAGGCGCCCGCGGCGCCGTCGTGCGCGGGGAAGAAGGGGAAGAAGCAGAGCAAGGCGATCCGGCGCGCGCAGAGGGAGAAGGAGCGCGCGAAAGACCGCGACGGCGACCCCGGCGTCCTCCCCGCCGCGCTCAAGCGCCTGAGCTTTCGAACCGTCGTCCTCGACGTCGAGAGCGACGACGCGGTGTCGCACCTCCCGTCGCTCGCGGAGGCGAACTTGCGCGGGTTCCTGACGTTCGACGTCCCGATCGTGATGACGCGCCCGGGGAACGTTCTCGGCGGCCTGTGCGGCGGCGCGAGCGCGCGTCTGAGAGGACGATACCTGTCGTCCGCGCTGACGATTTTGTTCCCCGAGGCGTTTCACGAGATTTTGAACGAAGACCCGGAGAACGCCGCCGACCGGCGCGTCGACGTCGACGAGTCGTCGCTGGACGACCAGTGGAGCGTCTCCAATCGCGGCGCGCTGACGCGCGCGGTCATCCTCGCGCGCGTCACCGCGGCCGAGCTCGGCGCGAGCGACGCGCGCGTCCGCGAGACGGTGCTTCGCGTGCCGTGGCTCGTCCACTCGGATCGCGCGCCGCGCGAAACGCCGCCGGATCTCGATCTCGACGCCTTGCTTCGCGCCGCGAGCGCGTCCCCGGGCGCGATCGCCGCGAAAGTTCGCGCGCTCGAGACGGCGTTGCTGCCAAAGCTGCGCGCGGAGAAGAAAGCCGCGTTGGTCGTGTCGTCGTCCTCCGCCGCGCTCGACGCCGTCGCCGCGTCGCTGAACGCCGCGCGCGCGTGCCACTTCCGTCTGGACGGCGCGCCGCTCGGCGCGCGCTTACACGCCGTCTCGCGGTTCGTCGCGAGCGGCGGCGCGAAGCGCGCGAGCCTCGCCGCGAGCGCCGTGAACCGAGAGCTGACCGTGCTCCTGTGCCTTGCGTCGGAGGCGACGGATCTGACGCGGGAAGCCGCAGCGCGCGTCGACGTCGTCGTCTCCTTGGACGCGGAGGGTCCCGACAGCGCGCACCTCGCGAGCGTGTTGCATCGCGTCCTCGGCGCGCGCGGCGGCGGCGGCGGCGGCGACGACGACGAGAAAACGTCCTCGTCGTCCCGCGCGCGCGCGGTCGCCGTGCTTCGCTTCGCGATGGAGGGCTCCGTCGAGGAGGACGTCGTCGCGGCGCGGCCGCTCGACGCGCGCGTCGACGGCGCCGCCACCGGCGCCGCCGCCGTCGCCGCTCGCGTCTTCGAGTCCTACCGCGCCTCGCGCGGCGGCGACGGCGACCACGACGCGTGGGCTAAGCGCGTGCGCGCGCAGACGGGCGCGCGCGTCGTCGCGCTGTCTCTTCGCGACGCGTCGTTCGCGCCCGTCGACGGCGGCGGCGACGTCGGCGAGGGCGAGTGGTGCGCCGGCGGCGCCGCCGCCGCCGCCGCCACGCGCGGGGTCGGGATCGACGAGCAGACCTGGTCGGTCGCGGCCGCGCGCGCGACCGCGCGACTCGCCGCGGCGTCCGCCCCTCGCGCCGTCGACGCGTGGCACGAGCGGAAGTGCCTCGCGTGCGCGGGCGAGCCGGGCGCGTGCGTCGCGTTGCCGCCGGCGTTTGTCGCCCCGGACGTCGCGGGGAAGAGGCTGGAGTGCAAGCTGTGCCCGCGCGCGTCGTCGTTCGGGTGCGCGGCGATCACGATCGCGCCGAGGGGAGGATGGGTCTGCCCGCAGCACGTCTGCCACGGCTGCGGCGCGAGGGCGAGGGATAACGACGCCGACGCGAGCGGCGGAGGGAAACGCCGCGCGAGGGCGAAGACGGCGACGGTGTTGTTGCGGTGCGCGACGTGTTCGAAAGCGTTCTGCGACGAGTGCTCCGGCGGCGCGGAGTTCGAAGCGCTGGAAGGGCACCCCGGGGAGTGGGAGGCGAACGGGTTTTACCTCCCCGCGGAGTCGTACGAGTACGTGCGGTGCCAGCTGTGCATCACGCCCAAGCCGAGGACGGCGGCGTGACGAACGGTTGGAAGAGAAGAAATTCATTATTAATTTTTTTACTTGGACACTAAAAAGACATACACGAGAATTCGTACAGTACAACGTACGCGTTCTGTACTTTTTCGACGCGCGCGGTGTTTTTTTGGAATTTCGGTCGTTTTGCTTTTACAACACAACCTAAAGTTTTGCGGAGTCCTCACGCCGGAAGAACCCTCACCCCATGAAAAGAAATCGAACGTTTACTTACGCCTCGGGCTCTTCTTTCTTCTCCTCCGCGGGACGCTCAACCTTCGCGCCAACCTCCTCGGACGTGTAGTCGCCGTGCACCTCCATGAGCTTCGTGACGTCAAACTTCGGCGCGCCAAGAATCTTGACCTTGCGAATGTAGACGTTCTGCAGAGGGTAAATGCCCGCGCACACCTTCTCGATCTCCTTCCCGATCACTTCCGGGATGAACTTAAGGACGCACTCCTTAAGGTCGCACGTCGTCGTCTCTCTGGAGATGATCTCGACCATCTTCTTGCGAATCTGACGAATCTGCCCGCTCTGCGCGTAACACGTGCGCTTGGTCTGATCCATGCGACGCTTCGTGAAGCCGATGCAAAACACGCGCAGGCGGTACCCGTCCGTGGTCTTGACGTCCGCGTAGCACTCGATGAGCGAGAACCACTTGCGAACGAGCGAGCGAATCTTATCCGTGGTGAAGTCCATGCCGTGGAACTGCGTCAGGACGTTCGTGCCCTGGACGTCTTCGCACTTGAGGAGCATCTTGCGGAACGCCTGGTCCTCATCCTGTCGCAGCGGGTGGGTCGGGTGGGTGGGCGGGGGAGGCGAGCGCGTCAGCGGCGTGCGTCGAGAATGTGGCGTGAAGTTCGCGGCGTCGACGCGCGGACGGTGCGAGCGCGCGCGGTGAGATGGGGCGGCCGCGCCACGCCGGCCGATCCATCCCCCCCGCACACCGCGTGCTACCCGTCAGTAGACCCTAATATTTCCGCCGCGGGGAAACGCGCGGAATCGCGACGCGCGAGACTAACCTGGTTCAAGTCCGCGAGGGAAACCTCGAAGATGCGGCCCTTGAGACCGTCGGAAGCGATCTGGGGAGGAGAACGAGGGAGGGAGAGCGTCGTCAGCGTCGTGATCGAGGCGGAAATCGTCGCGTGTTTTCGCTGGAAAAAACCCCGCGTCGCGCGCGAAGAAAAAATCTCGCGGACGGCGGACGGCGCGCGGCGACGCGAACGACGGCGGCGATGCGAGCGCGATGTGCGCTCGCCGTCGCCGCCGTGACGTCCTCGCGTCGTCCACGCCGCCGCGCGCGCGTCTACGTCGCGGGTAAACCCCCGCGGAGAGCGCTCCCATCGCGTACCTTCGTGCCCGCAGACCTCGTGACGAGGGTCTTGCCGACCTGCTTCACGGAGAACATGGAGGGCGCCTTGATGTTGTACCACTCCTTCTTAAGGAAAGGGTCGAGCTGCTTCTTCTTGCTCCCCTTCTTGCCCTTGGACATGCGCTTGTTCTTGCCGACCGCCATCTTGAACGATGTCGGTGTGGTCCGGCTCTACGGTAAAAGACCTAGCACGGCGATGGCGGTGCGCTTAAAAACGCAGGCGTGACGAGAATTTACCGCGTAGTATGATTCGCGCGTACTTTCATACTGTTTGCGCATACGACGTCCTCCGCGAACAGGTTATGGGGTGATTTTTCCTCACCTGCGCGGCTTCAAAAGTCGGCGCTCATCAGTCGCGACGCTCGCACTCTACCTCGCGGCGCGTCCCCCCCGGTCTCGTTCACGTCTCCACACGATGTCTAAGCGGAAGTCCGTCACGATGGACGACGTCGACGGCTTCAGCGCGGCGCAGCTCTTCGGGCAAGGTGAGCGAGCGAGCGCGCCTCTCGCCGCGTCCGCGCGATCGCGATCTCGTCGCTTTTTCGAAACAAATCATCGATCGATCGGTCGCTCACCGTCGTCCTCGCTCTCCGTCGCCCACCAGGCGTGTGCTACACGTACGACGACGTCATCTTCCACCCCGGGCACATCAACTTCGCGGCCACGGAGGTGGACCTCACGACGAAGCTCACGAAGAACATCACGATCCGCACGCCGATCGTGTCGTCCCCGATGGACACCGGTGCGTCGTCGCGCGCGGCGCGGCGCGGCGCGGCGCGTTTGAAAAAAAAGCTCCACCTGTCCGGTCGTCGCGGCGCGCTCGCGCTCGAAACCTCGACGTCCTCTCGCCCACCACGCACGTCTCTCTCTGACATCCCGCGATCGTCTCCCTCCCTCCCCCTAAACGCTCGCCATCGCGCTCGCTCCTCGCAGTCACCGAGGCGGACATGGCGATCGCGATGGCGTCCGTCGGCGGCGCCGGTTTCTTGCACTACAACATGACCCAAGAGGAGCAGATCGCCAACCTGAAGGCGGTCAAGGCGCACCGGCTCGGGTACGTGACCCGACCGGAGGTGGTCTCCCCCGACGCGACGCTCGAGTTCCTGGACGAGCTCGCGACTCGACGCGGGTTCACGTCCGCGTGCGTCACGGACACCGGAGCCGTCGGCGGGAAGCTGCTCGGTCTCGTGACGTCGAGAGACGCCGAGCTCGTCGCCGACCGCTCGACGAAAGTCGTCGACGTGATGACATCCGCGAGCGACTTGCTCGTCGGGTCCGCGACTGACGGCGTCGCGGCGCTCGAGGAGTTACTACTGAAGAGCAAGAAGGGGAAGATGCCGGTCGTGAACGCGGAGACCGGGGAGCTCGTCGGGTTGATCACGCGCGCGTCGATCAAGCAGAAGAAGCTCCTGCCGCCGCCGGGCGCGCCGAGCCTGGATAAGAAAGGGCGACTGCTGTGCGGCGCCGCGATCGGGACGCGGCCGGCGGATCGCGACCGCGCGGTGGCGCTCGCGGCCGAGGGCGTGGACGCGCTCATTCTGGACTCGAGTCAGGGCGACAGCACGTACCAGATCGAGATGGTTAAGTTTTTGAAGAAGACGATTCCAGAGGTGGACGTCATCGCCGGGAACATCGTGACGCAAAACCAGGCGCGGCGTTTGCTCGACGCGGGCGCGGACGCGCTCCGCGTCGGCATGGGCTCCGGCTCGATCTGCACGACGCAGGAAGTGTGCGCGGTCGGACGCGGGCAAGCGACCGCGGTGTACAAAGTCGCGAACCTCGCGGCGCAGTACGACGTTCCGATCATCGCGGACGGAGGGATCCAAAACTCTGGGCACGTCACCAAGGCGCTGACCCTCGGCGCGTCCACGGCGATGTGCGGGAGCATGTTCGCGGGGACCACGGAAGCGCCGGGGGAGTACTTCTACGTCGACGGCGTCAGGGTGAAGAAGTACCGCGGGATGGGGTCGCTCGACGCGATGAAAAAGGGGAGCGACACGCGGTACCTCAGCGAGAGCGGCCACCTGAAAGTCGCGCAGGGCGTGTCCGGCACGGTGAAAGACAAAGGGTCCGTGTGCAAGATGGTGCCGTACTTGATTCACGGCGTGAAGCAAGGGTTCCAGGACATGGGCGCGAAGAGCCACGCGCACGCGACGGAGTTGAGAAACGCGGGGGACATGCGCGTGGAGACGAGAACGGGCGCCGCGCAGGCGGAGGGTGGCGTGCACGACATGCACTCGTACAAGAAGGTTCTCTGGTGATCGCCGCGACGACGCGACGCGACGCGACGGGACGCGACGAACGCGACGAAACGCGACGAAACTCGGGTCAGAGAGAGAGGCGAGGCGTCGCGCGGGGCGGGAGGAGGCGTGTTCGCGTGAGTTGATTGTATTGTGACGAGCTGAGAGAGCGTCGCGCGTTTCGCGGTTCGTTCGTTCGTTTGGTCGTATTCTCATCACGCGTCGCGTCGGTCGTCGTTCAAAGTCGTCAAAATGCACGCGTCGTCGCGTTCGGGACGGAAAAAGAAATCGAGAGCGCTTTCCCCCACGTGCTGTGGGGAAAAACGCATCGCATCGCTCAAGGCGGTCCACGTCACCCGCGGCGTTCGCTCACTCCGAGAGAAGGCAGAACGCGAACAGAAATACGATGAATCCGCCGTACGACTGCGCCAGCCACTTCCCCGCCTCCGTCCACAGCCCGCCGCGCTGCGCGATCACCGCGGTCGCGACGAGCGCGAGGCCGTAGAGAAGCATCGAGCTCTCAACGACCCTGCGCATCTTCTGCGGCGCGCCGTCCGGGATGATCGACGCCGTGGCCGTCGCGACGACGACGTTGGCGGCGCCGACGAACCGCACCAACGTCGCGACGCCGAGTTTCGCGACGTCGCTCAGCAGTGCGATGTCTTGCGGGGACACGAAGTAGTTCGCGTAGCGTATCGGGTCCCAGAGCGCTCCCGCGGCGGCGATCAGCGCGCCGGCGACGAGGACCGCGAGCCCGGCGCGCTTGACGGCGCTCTGCGCGGACTCCACCTTCGAGAGGACCTTCTCGCCGGACTTTTGCACCGCCTCGGACGCGGCCTCGGACGCGTCCTCCCAGCTCTGCACGGCCTCGTCCACCTTCGAGCGCAGGGCATCGCCGGAGGAGGAGGAGGAGGAGGAGGAGGAGGAGGAGGAGGTCTTGATCGCGCCGCCGCGGGGGGCGCGCGGGAGGAGCCGCGCGGGGACGGCGACGACGCGCGTCGCGACGCCGCGTTTCGGTCCGATACGAGCGGACGTCTTCGGCGGCGACGGCGCGCGAAGCGGGAGGAGCGAGGCGACGGCGTGCATCGTGAGGACGCGCGCGGCGGCGGCGGCTGGAAAGAGCGCGATACGGCGAGTCGAAGCGAAGCGCGCGCGCGAGGGAGTGCGCGACGCGGCCGCGGGAGGCGTTTTCCCCGAGCAACGACGGGACGACGCGCGGTCCAAGAACACTCCGCTGAAGAGAGCAGAGACAGGACGCACTCAGAGACGCCTCGAAAGCTCTTCTAAAAGTGTTCAAACTGTACTTGAAGGCAGCCGCTCACCCCGTCCCCTTCCTGGAGATGTACCGCATCAACGCCTCGTCCACCCACGGCTGATCGTACAGCTCTTTGTTCCTCTCCGCCTCCCGTCGCGTCGCTCCGTCGTGTCGCACGACCGCGACGTCCCTCGCCTGCGCGGCGACGACGCGGTTGATGAACGCCGTCGGCGACCGCGAAAACTCGAGAAAAAACTTTCGCCGACGCTCGTGCTCTTCGATCTTCCTGAGCGCCGCTTTAATCCGCGCGTCGCACGCGTCGATCTCCCGATCCCTCCCCAAGCGCTCCACGAACTGATGGTACCCGCTCGTCGCGGTGGAAGGCACGTCCAGGAGGAGGTCGTAGCACTCCGGCAGCGTCGGGTTCCTCGTCCCGCGCGTGCGAATGACGTAATCAATCTCGATCGGCGGCGCCGGCTCGAGGTGATCGTGCAGCCGCTCCGCGATGTCCGCGAATAACGCCTTATCGCCATCGGTTACCCTCAACCCTTTCAACCCTTTCCCGTTCCCCTTCAAGCCCGCCCCGTCTACGAACACCTCTCTCAGCGCGTCGTTCATCACCACCGTCCCCGCGTCCTCCGCGTCGAGCAGGTCGTGCAGCTTGACGTACTGCATCAGCGCGCCGATGAGCCGCGGCCGCGTCTCGAGATCCACGCCGAGGATCGCCGCCAGCCTCGGCGACACCGCGTACCGCTCCGGCTGGTGATCGATCCGCAGTATGATCTTGCAGACGCAGTCCGCGTCGCCGTGGCGTTTCACTTCGAACCCGTCCACGGCGGGCGCGTCCGGTGACGCGTCGTCGGCGTTCCACGCGATGACGGACGGGCCGACGCTCGCGTCGTCCTCCGCGCCCTGGCCCTCCGGCGGCGGGAGCGAGTCCGCGGCGTAGTGCGCCGGGTCGAGCCTCACCTCGACGCTTCGGACGAACGACGAGAACTTCAGGTCGCACTCCGCGTCCGCGTGCTTGTCCCCGCGTCCGTCCGGGGCCTCGTCCTGGCTCAGGACGCGTCCTTGGACGTGCAGCGTCCACGACGCGGGCTCGATCTCTTCCTCGATCGGCGCTCCCGTCGCCCCGTCGGCCGATCTCGCGCCCCTCTTCGCGCCGCGATCTTTGCCGCCGCCCTCCGCGGGGTTCACGATCGATTTGCTCGCGGGCTTGAACGTGTTGTACACGTACACCCTGACCGTCCGCGGGACGCGCTCCGCGCGCTTCAGCGCCTCGTTCACCTCCGCCTTCCTCCTGCCGAGCGTCGCATCCACCTCGCGCTCGAAGTCGACGAGGCGCGTGTACGCCGCGGACGCGGGGAGAGACGCGTCGGAGGCGTCGCCCGCGGCGAGGAGGCGGCGCTGCTGCTCCGCGAGGAGCGCCTTGCGCTTCTTCCCGCGGCCGCCCCTCGCGGCGACGTCCGCGTATTTCGAGCTCATGACGGCCCGCGCGCGCGCGGTCGCAGTGACGCACAGCAAACCCTCCTCTCAATTCTCCACTCGACGCGACAAGACGCGAGACGGCGCGGCGCCGCAAGTCGACGACGCTCCATTCTTCTCGCCGTGCCGTGTCTCGAGCGGCCTTCATTGACGGCGGCGCGGGACAGGCGGTGCACCCGCGGGGGTGAGACGCGAGCACGATGCACAGGCCGCTCGAAGGTGCGTCTCCGTCCGCGCGGAGACAGCGCGCGTCCCTCATCGCGTCGCGTCGCGCGCGGCGACTGCCGCGGCGGCCGCGCCCCGAATTTCAAAGCGAATTGATATGACAACCCCGCAACCCAGCCGACTGACGAGATCCCCCCCTGAACCCCACCGAATCCACCTCATCAGGCGACGACGACGGGTCGTCGTCCATCCTCGACGTCATCGAGGAGTCGCTCCAGCGCGGGAAGGCGACGTGCGTCGCGTTCAACCGACGCGGCACGCTCCTCGCCGCGGGAACGTCCGGCGGTCGGATCGTGATCTGGGACTTCGACACGCGCTCGGTCGCGAGGGAGTTCGTCCCGACCGCGCCGATGCCCGGCGGGGACGACGGCACGACCGACGACGACCCCCACGGCGTCGCCATCTTGAGCGTCGCGTGGTCGAGAGACGGACGAAAGGTTGTCAGCGCCGCCGCGGACGGCGCGATCGTCGTGTGGGACGTCGCGGAATCCGACGACGTCTTCCGCGCGACGTTCGACGCGCCGCTGCATCGCGTCGCGTTCGACCCGACGAACGCCTCCGTCGCGCTCGTCTGCCCCTCCCACGACGGCCCGATGACATTCGTGCTCGGGAGAGGGAGGAAGAAGACGTACCTGCCGCAGATGCCCGGCGGCGTCGAGGCGGCGTCGCTCGTGTGTCGCATTCCGGGCCGAGGATTGGACGAAAACGCGGCGTCGCGCGCGCCCGCGTACGCCATCTACAGCAAGTCCGCGCGGCACGTGTTCGTGGCGAACAACCGCGGGGTGATCACCGTGGTCGAGACTGCGACGATGGACATCGTCCAGGCGTTGAAAGTTCCGGACGCGACGGTCGTGAAGCGGATCGAGCTCTCGAAGGACGGCTTGAAACTTTTAGTCACGTCCAACGCGCGCGCGTTGAACTCGTACGACGTCGCGGAGCCGGACGCGTCGTCTCCGTCGAAAGGGCAGATGAGCCACACGGCCGGGGTGTTGCGCGCGTCGACGACGTATCTCAACGCGACGCACCGCTCGCAGTGGGCCGCGGCGGCGTACACGTCGGACGGCGCCTACGTCGTCGGCGCGAGCGCCGGGTCGAGCCACGAGTTGCACGTGTGGGAGACAAACTCGGGGGCGTTGGTTCGGATCTTACAGGGCGGCGCGGACACGAAAGGGATCACGCAGATCGCGCCGCACCCGCTGCGATCGCTCGTCGTCGCCGTCGGCGCGAACGGGACGCTGTACATGTGGAGTAAGAGCTACGTCGAGAACTGGAGCGCGTTTGATCCGGAGTTTCACGAGGTGAAAGAGAACGAGGTGTACGTCGAACGCGAGGACGAGTTTGATTTGATCGCGGACGAGGTTCGGGACGAGATCGAGAACGGGGGGAAGCGCGCTACCGACCGTGCGGCGATCGCGCCGGCGGAGGCTGAGGCCGAGGCTGATCCGAAGCCGAAGGAAGAGGAAGGGGTTGCGGGCGACAAAGAGCCGACGCTCGCGCTGCCGGCGACGGCGGCGGAGGCGGCGGTCGCCGAGGACGCCGCGGCGGCGGCGGCGGCGGAGACGACGACGACGACGACCGCGGCGCCCGCGGCGGTCGAGGACGCGACCGTCGTCGACCCGGAGGAAGAGGCGAGGAAAGTCGCGCTGAGGGAAGAAGCAGAGGCGTTCTTAAAGCGCGAGGAAGAGGCCGCGGCGAGGGTGAAAGCGGAGGAGGACGCGAAAGAGGCGGCGGCGAAGGCGGCGAAGGAAGCGGCGCGCGCGAAAGCCGCGGGCGAGACCGCCGCCGCGACGCCGGGGCCGGGGGGCGACGCGCCGCCGCCGCCGCCGACGACGACGACGACGGCCGAAATCCTCGCAAAGGCCGAGCTCGAGTCCACGCCCGCGCCGGCGGTGGCGCTCGGGTTGGTTCCCCCCGCGCGAGAGTCGGTCGAGAACGTCTTCGAGGGGAGGAGGGAGGAAAACGCGGCGGCTGCGGCGGCGATCGACGCCGCGCCCGCGCCCGCGCCCGCGCCCGCGCCCCTCGCGATCGTGCCCGCGACCCTCGACGAGAAACCGGCCGTGGACCCTTTGCTATCTCTCCCCGCGGACGACCCGCACCGGGTCGCGGTCATGGCGACCGTGGACGCGATTCGAAAGGAACGGAAAGCCGCCGCCGCCGCCGCCGCCGCGGAGGAGCTTCGAATCGAGAAAATAAAATCCGCGGCGATCATGCGTCACCGCGCGGCGGCCGCGAAAGCGACGAAGGAGGCGCTGAACGCGGCGAAACAAGCGGAAGCGGACGCGGCGAACGTCGTCATCGACATCCTCACGCGCGAATCGGGATACTACACGGACGAGGGCGAGGAGGACTGCTTGCATTTTCTTCCGCTGGATTTAACCCCCGCGGAGGATGCAGTGCGCATCGTCGAGGAGCGGAAGCGGCGATGGAGAGCGCGCGAGGAAAGGAAACTCGCGGAGGAGGCTGCCGCGAACGCCGTGGGCGCCGTCGGGGAGAAGAGGAAGGAGAGAGATGAGGACGACTTCCGCGAGGACGACGAAGACGCGGAGGACGCGGAGGAAGAGGCAGAAGACGAAGACGAGGAGGACGAAGACGCGGAGGTCGCCGAGGAAGAGGCGGAGGAGGAAGCCGACGACGCGGGCGAGGAACGAGAAGACGTCGAGATGATCGACGACGAGTAATTTAGCTAGCGATGGACGGCGCGATTCGTTAAACGACGAACGAGCGAACGCGTTACGTTTACACGAGTTACAGCACGCGGCATTACAGTAGAATCATCGATCGAGTCAACTCCGTCGTTGAGCAGAAAAAGAAAAGAATCCGTCGTCGTCACTTGATGCGATTGACCGCCATGTACGCGAGCTCCTTCAGCCCTTTCCGGCACCGCATCGCGTGCGGGCAGTCTATCGGCGGCAGCGACTCGATCGCCCTCACCGCCTCCGCGCTGTGCTCCCTCGCGAGCGCCTTCGTGCGCTCGATCCCTTTACTGCGTTTCACCCAGTCGTGCGCGGTCTCCACGTCCCCGACGTTTTTGAACCTTCGCTCGATCAACGCGCCCAACCCTTCGTGCTCCTCCGCGGCGAACAACACCGGCGCGGTCGCGATCCCCTCTCTCAAATCCCCCAGCGTCGGCTTCCCGAGCACGCTCCCGGTCCCGGTGAAGTCCAAGACGTCGTCTTGGAACTGAAACGCCAGGCCTAAGTGCCGGCCGTACTGATATGCGCTCTCCGCCGTCGTCACGTCGTGCCCTCCGAGCAACACGATGGCCTTCGCGCTGTTCGCGATCAACGAGGCCGTCTTAAAGTACGTCTTCTGAAAGTAATGATCGAACGACGTCAGACGGTCCGCTTTCGCAGTCATCTGCATCACTTCGCCGGTGACGAGGTGCTCCAAAACGCGCGACAACAGCGCGATCACCTCCGTGTTTCGCAAGCTCGCGAGCGTGACGGACGCCCTCGCGAGAAGAAAATCCCCGGCTAAGATGGCGAGCTTGTTCCCAACCTCCAAGTTCAGCGCCCGCAACCCCCGTCGCGTCGCCGCGTGGTCCAAAACGTCGTCGTGCAGCAGCGACGCGACGTGAATCAGCTCCGTGATCTCCGCCAACCGCTGCTGCCGTCGCCTCACGTCCCCGGGCTCCTGATGCGCGGGCGCGTGATCGATCCCCGCCCACGCGCTGCGGTCGAGCGCCGCCGTCCCGCCCGGGCCGCCGCCGCTGACGTTCGTGAGCGCGGACGCCATCAGAAGCAAAACGGTCGGCCGCATGCGTTTTCCCTCCGCGCCCACCTTGAAGAAGTACTCCGCCGCCGTCGCGAGCGCGGGCACCTCGGACGTCACCGCGCGGCGCATCCGCGCGGAGATGGCGCCGAGCTCGTCGTTGACGATCGTGAACGGGTTCACGGGCTCGGCGTCGTCGAACGACACGGAAGCCGCCTGCGGATCGCGCGGTGGGGGTAGATCGTGGATCGTGCGGTGGGTGGACGGACGGCGTGAGTCGAGAGCGCGCGGGAGAGTGCGCTCGAGACGCGGGACGGACGAGCGAACGCGCGAAGCGAGCGCGCGAGCGACGGACGAGAAGACGAGGCGACGTCGCGACGGCGAGCCGCGCGGCGCGGCGCGACGCGCGCGATCGCGGCGCGGGAGGACGCGAACGCACCTGCGCGCACGTCGCGGACGCGGTCGCGAACCCGCGGTTCCGTTCCCCGTCGCGACCGCCGCCGTCGAGCGCGAACGGCGTCTCCGCGGCGCCGACGCGGTCGCGCGTCGACGACGACGTGTCCGTCGCTCCGAGAGGAACGCGACCCGAGCGGTGCGCGGCGGCCGCGCGAGGCGCGATCGCGCGCGCGGAGAAGAGCGCGCCGCCCGTCCACGGCGACCCGTGCGCCGTCTCGGCCGCGCGGCACGGCGTCGCGGCCGCGCGCGCGGCGCGTCGCGCCGCGCGCGCCGCCGCGCGGATCCCCAGCGGCACCATCGCGCGCGGACGTCTCGCGCGCGCCGGGTGTCTGTCGGTACTCCTCGCAGCGCGCGCTCAACAAATCTTCAGTTTGTTCGTTCCTCTTCCTCGCGCGACGCGACGCGACGCGACGGAGGAGACGCGCGCGTCTCTCGCGCGGCGCGGCCGGTCTGAAGGTGTTACCGGTGCCCGGAGCGAGGTCGACCGGTGGACGCGACGCTCGCGGTGCGCGCGGGAGTGGGAGACGTCGACGACGCGAACAACTCGCGAACGATCGGGGTTTTCAGGTGTTTTGTGAGACTGCAGAAGAGACGAGAGGGGCGTTCGTTGGGTGCTGTGAGCGTGCGTGACGACTTATTATTCTGAGAGAGGGACGCGGACGGACGCGTGCGCGAAGTCTCGACGCGTTCGCTCTTTGGATTTCATCGCGAGAGGCGGCGAGATGCCACGGTACTCAACGCGCCGACGCGCCCTCTTCCTCGCCCAGGGTGAACGCTTCCTCGCCCGCGCCTCCTCCCTCCCTCTCCAGCGCCTCCAGTTCCTCCTCGGTGACGTCCACTCTTCGGAACAACAAAAACGTCAAAAACTCCGCGCCTTTTCCTCCGCCGCGCCACCCTTTGCCGGCGTACACCCCCGGCCCTAGCGGCCGGATGTAGTCCACGAGCGTGTCGAACGGCGGGAGCGCGATCTTCGGTATCGGCCACCACACGTCGTCGCCGTCCACCCCGGGCGTGCGTCGGCTCGGGTATCGCATCGCCGGCGGCATGTCCGACTCGAGGTAGGGAATGTTTTGGTAGTCGAGCGACACGTCCGCGTCCTCCGCGGTGGCGGGAACCTTAAGGAACCGCCCCGCGAGCGTATCGTTCGTGCTGAAGTACAGCGGCAGCGCTTTCTCGATGAACCGCGGCTTCTTCACGACGACGCGCCCGTTCCACACGCCCGTCATCTCGCCTTTTTCGTTCACCCCCGGGGCGGGGTAAAACACTTTTTGGAACCGGTTGAGGAGCGGCCCGCCCGGGACGTTCGCGGCGCGGCCTTCGAACACCTGCACGCCGGCGTCTCCCGCGGCGAAGACCTTCTCCCTCCTCGCGCTCGACATCTTCGTCTTCGTCTTATTCGTCGTCCCCTCGTCCACGGAGTCCTCCACGACGTAATCGTCGTCGTCCTCCGTCTCCGCGTCCGTCTCCGCGTCCTCCGTCGAATCCCCGGCGATTCGTCGGAATCGATCGCGCGCCGCCGCCGCGCGGTCGAGCCTGTCTTGGTACGCGTCCAAGTCGCTCGACACGTCCATCGGCCCTCCCGAGCTCTCTCTCTCCGCGAGCTTGATCTTGTACAGAAGCCCCGCGATGAACCAGCAGTTCTCCAGACCGCGGTCCGTGAGCTCGTTGACGAGCAGTCCTCGGTGCTCCTCGGGCACCCGCGACAGCGACTCGTACACGTACGCGCCCATGTTGGTCGCCCTCGACGTGAACGCGACGTGCTCGTACGCGTTCAACGTCGTCGCGAGCCGAACGATCATGTCGTACGCTTCCTCGTACCTCTGCTCTTCCGTCATGGACGCCCAGGTGATCCCCGGGACGCCCACGGTGTCGCTCGGCGCGGCGCGCGGGATCCCGGGGATCGATCGCGGGTCCGGGTCCGCGGCGAATCTCGTCGCGCGATTCCATCGGGCGGCGCGGTCGCCGATGGGAACGCGCGTTCGGGCGGGTTTACGCGCGCGCGAGCACGACGGCGCGCTGGCGTTCGCGCTCTGGCGCGCCGCGAGCGCGCGGAGGGCCGCGGACGACATGCCCGCCGCCGTCGCCGTGCGAGATCCGGCGCAGTCGGCGTGTGGGTCGTCGCGTTGCAATGTTGAGAATTTCCTTCTCTCGCGACGGAAGCGGAAGGGACGACGCGACGCGCGAGACACTTTTTCAGCGACGAGGATTTGATCGGCACGAAGGGTCAACTTGACCGAACTTGACCGAATCCGGGACTTCATCTTCACCCATGAGTCATCGGTCCGTCGCGGCTCGGATCTCATCACTGGGATCTCAACAATTCTACGCCGCAACAGAGATGACGTGGAGATAACGACGCTCGGACGCGACTCCGAGCGCACTGTCGTCCGCGCGCGCACGCGCAGACCGCACGCGAGAGCTTCCCCGCTCCCCACACGCGTTTCTCGACTCCCCTCGCGGAGAGAGAAGACCACCGCCGCGTCTCGTTCGACGTCGCCGCGGCTTATCCACGCGCGGAGGACGAAATAATCCTCCCGCGTCGGCGCCGCATCTCGACAGATCTTCCTCCGTCGTCGTCGCGAGAATGTCGTCCGCCGCGAGCGCCGCCCCCGCGCTCGCCGCGCGCGCGGCCGTCGCGGGCAAGACGCGTATCCGCGCCGGTAAGAACCGCGCTCACGCGAACGCGACCGCGACGGCCGCGCGCCGCCGCCCCGTCCGCGGCGCGCCGCTGCGATGCGACGCCATCTTCGACCAGCTCAAGAAGGGCGTGGACGGCCTCATGAAGGGCGACCCGAGCGCGAAGACCGCGGCGAGGTACAAGGACCGCGTCGACGCGATCAACGCGCTCGCGCCCGCGATCGCGAAGCTGTCGGACGACGAGCTGCGCGCGAAGACGACGGAGCTTCAGGGCAAGGTGCGCGCGGGCGCGGACTTGGACTCCCTCCTCGTCGAGGCGTTCGCCGTCGTCCGCGAGGCGAGCGACCGCGTCCTCGGGCTTCGCCCGTTCGACGTCCAGCTCATCGGCGGGATGATCCTTCACGAAGGGCAGATCGCGGAGATGCGAACGGGCGAGGGTAAGACCCTCGGTC